GCCTACAGAACTTAAGCGGAGTGCTTATCTTTTTCTAGGTTTCACCTTGTTTTCCTCTTTGTTCTGATCCATTTACTGCCAGAAGCCATCATGTCCCAGGCCGTGTAAGAATTAAAATGCCTCTCATAACCTCCTATGTTAATCTAGTTTTGACCTGCACTGCCTCTAGACCTGACCTTTACCCTTACCCTGTCAATATTAACCGAGCAATCCCCAGACAAATTCAGATGTGGAAGTTTAACCGTATCTAGTCGATCGTAGTAAATCACTTGTTTAACCAACACAATGCCTCTTTTTTCATCAATTTAAAATGAAAGATAACTGAGAGCACTATGAATGGTATTTTTGAATCCATTTCCATGGAAAACCCATGGTTCCAAGCCAAACTGGCTCTCACACTTGGCCATGTGCTTAAACTGCAACAGCCCTGTGAACTTTAACCCCTCTTCTCATCAGTCATCATCCATCACCCAGCAAGACACAGAACTGCTCTTGTCATCCGGCGGAGGAACTACCTCAGCTGCTTTCTTTCTCTTTGGAAACACTCTGGACAAGTAACCGCCATTTTGGAGCCATCTATGTTTAAGGTCCATGTACATAAAGGCAGCACTCCTTACTAGCTACAGGGGATAATGATAAGATTAAAATATGTGTTGCACTTGGTCATGGTCAGTTAAACACTTAAGCACAGATAGTGTTAGAAAATCTTGTCCAGGGTACAAACTAGTTTCACTGGCAAGAACTTACATCATCAGATATTTCCTCACAGTGACTGAGCTTATCTCCAAAGAAGTTTGAGTTGTCAAGGAAGTGAATACCAGTGTCTCAAAACACTGCAGGTCTTTGCTCCTGAACTTATGACGTCTTTTAGAGTGAAAAAGTCTCTACTTTTTGCGTATGTGGACAGAATGGGCAATTCAAAGAGATGCAAAGCATCATTGTGTAGCCCATATCCCCTGATCCCAGTGTGTGCACAGGCTTTGTTGTTGCCCTGTGAAGTCATGCATTAGAGAATAGCTTAGCAGTAGCTGAGTGGAGCTTTTTCTTTCCTTTTAATTACAGCACGCCTGGTCCAGCCAGTGACCATTGTGCCAGAGTGCTGCGAGTTCCCACAATGGAGCTGCTCAGGGGGAGAACAATGAGTCAAATTCCTGACCGTTCCCCACAGGTTCAGAGGCAGGGCTGACATAGAAAGACAGCACAGTTACAGTGGCTTTGCTACTCTACACCCAGTAGCTTTCCCAGTGGCCACCTCACTAGGGATATTGGTTTGGAAGTGTCCCTGTTTGTGTGTCTGTGTTACAGGGTGGCTACGCGTCCCACTGGGAGTACAGGGAAGAGTTCAAAGATGGGGGAGGGAGCTTGTTTGGCTCTCTGTAGGACTGCTCACCCTTTAACTTGTGTAACCAAACCCTTGAGAGTGCAAAGTTGGTAACCAAAGGCTGTAGGAAAGGCTTTGTTGATCAAAAGCTAATCAGCCTTTTTTCCAAAGACTGGAACACTGAAGTTCTGTAAGATGTGCTCAGAAGTGTTTGCTTTTAATGGGTTTTTTGATCCCACAAACTCTCTGGGTCCTGGGATATCTTCCACTTTGCAAACACCACTTTAAACTTAGTCTGCTGTTAATTTGTTTCCTCATTGGGAAACTAGTATAAAAAGTATCTCGAGAGGAAGGTTCTGTTTACATTTCCAAAAATGAGCGGTTATACGTCTTTTAAGTAGGCTGCTCAGCTTGGAGACATCCAACTGGGTCTACTTTAGTTTGTGTTGCCCAGATTTCCCTATTTTTGCTTGTCCAGCTGTATAGAAATATGCTTGTTTTAGTCTGTTTATCCGTACAGTGTTGTGTTGGAAACAATTCTGCACATATTCAGTGTTTGAAACTGAGATGGTGGGTGGTAAAGAGGGGCCCCACAGTGAACAACAGGTGCCCACACAACACACCAAGACAAGCTGATCGCCCCTGCCCTCGTTAGCTCAGTGGTTTTCAATCATCCATCCTCATTATCACAGAAAAAGCTCAAACATCAAACATCCAGTGATATTAAGTTACAGGCCAAGGAACAAGTCTTTTGTATCAGGTTGAGGAATTTGTTTAGGAACGTTCCTAATAAACTGGAACATGCAATTCTGTACTTTTTCACCATTTTATCAGGAACTCTTATCTTAATGGAAACAAACTTCTGGTGCTTGAATAGTGGAACTTTGTATCAGTTTATCATTTTGTTATATAAACATAAATTCATTTTTGACCATCTCTCCAAATCTGTTTTTGAGGATTGATCCAAAACTAGTTTGGTATCATTTATACTTCTAAAAAGAACCAGAGAATTACATCTGGGTTTGAACATCAAGCGTGTTAAAATCTCCCAACAATAAAATGAAGCTTTTGAATGCAGTTTTTTTTTGTCCTGAGATGTATAAGCCTTGCTGATTTGGGTGAATGAATATACCGTGAGGGCAAACGGTGCTCATTCAGCTTCTTGTTGGTGATACTGAAGTTGACATCGGTGTTGTTTGACTAGACCACATGGCCTGCTTTGAGGACATTTGCTAAGTGGCTCTTATGAAGGCCGTAAAACTCCTCCAAAACGTTTCATCCTGTGCAAGCTTTTGAAAAAGGTTCACACAGCCCAGGTCTATTACCCCACTCACACATACACACACACACACACACACACACACACATTTCACAATTACGTGACACCGTGTCTCTTTTACTGGTTTCTCTGCCCTTAAATGAAAATTGATAGTCTCACATACATGCACACACCCTAGCAGTCATTGATCGAAACACAATAAATGTTTTATAAGCCGCGGTGTAAGGACACCTCTTTCTTTTTTACCCAGTACGTCTTGGTAGCTGAATCCAGAGGGAGATCCGGCTCCCTGAAACTCCCTCTGGAAGGTGATACACATAAAGAAACCCAGTTGCTTTGCTTCAAGGTTGGAATGAAATTCTCATCTCTAAAGTCTCAGTAGCAGCATCAGGCATGGAAGTGGTGGGAAAATCTCCCTGGCAGCCTCAATGAGAGGACCAACCCCCCTTTGAACAATTAGCGGTTACAGATTATTACCTCCCACTGTTTTTTTTCAGACTGCTTTTAGAGATACAGCCCGTTTGACTGATACTGTGTGGTGGAAAAACAATTGTTGCTAAAACAGCACAAGCCACTACCCCCCCAGTAAGTCTTATTGTAGCTCAAACCCCAACTTTCCCTTGTTGGCGTTGAGGACGGTGGCACCCTTCCACAGGAAATGCCTTTTTAACGCAGCAGGAAGGAGAAACTGGCCTCCTCCAGAACCCAGGTCTTTGTCTCCATCTAATCGCATTAAGTGACTGGCCCCTGTGTTTGTATTTGGCTCAGGCCAGTACTCGGTTCCTTTCTTACCATTTGAAGTGGATTCCTTTAGAGAATGCCAGCCAGTCAGAGTTTATTTAAAAAATTCTCTGAAGTCTTGCCTAAAAATGGAGCATGTCAAGGAAATTAGAAAAATGTAAGACAAATAGCTGGACTTGACCTGTTTGTTGGATAATAGTTTTAAAAGTAATGAACATTTTCTTGAGCCCTCTTCCCACGGATTCTTAAAAAATGTTGTAAATTAGGTTATATTACATGCTTATTATGTAGTTATAAAGTTTCTAATGGTTAAGACCCAAAACAATGTAACTTTACATTGGGAATCTGTTCTTTTTTTATGATAATTGGTGATGCAACACAAAAATACGTTTTCATTTACATCATATGTGAGTCATCCGACTCTGATTCCATCACTCAGCACTGACATTCGGATTGATAGAGGCTGGTTTATCAAATTGAACCGTGATACTTCATAACTTTCAATTTCAGGTATGAAACAGCAAACGGCATCAACTGCCATCGGACAATAGTGTTTGTTTGAAATGAATGACTGTCGATAAGAGCAAAAGAGAGAAAACATGTATTTGTCCCTTTAAATCGGTTCCTTTTATAGTCCCAGATGTTCAGAAAAGGGAAATCTGCAGCTTTAGTTTTACAAAGGAAAAGTACAGATTTTTTTAAATCTGAAGTTTGGTCACACGCGATCTAACCCTGTTTGGTCAACATATTGCACACACACACACGCATACACACACACACACACACACACACACACACACACACAACACACACACACACCTCCCTTTGTTGTTCCTCTATGCAAACTGTCAGCAACAGGTGCACAGGCTCGCCGTCATGGAGGCATAACGAAAGTGACCGCATAACGCACCTAGTGACTTCTCATTCCAACGTAAAGCCCCGACAATCTTCCTCCCGCGGAATGTTGTTGCGCGTGCGTTTGTGTGTGGCAGGGTTTGAGAGAGTCGGGGTGTCTTGCAGCTGACGGGTCTTTCAGAGCCTGCAGGGCACGGGGCCACGTCTCTGCAGCTGCCCCCTCTCTGTGCGCTCTTTGATGGGGAATGGCACGGCCTTCGCCTCCACACCCACAGCCAGACGCACACGGAACGCGCACAAAAACGTACACAAAGGCTCGTTTTCCTCCCTGTTGCATGCATAAAGAGGGCACGTATTGTCAGTGCGTTCGTTGAAATGTACAGTTCATGACTCACCGCAGGGCCTTACGCAAGCCCCGTGCAAACCCTCGCGGTATTTTCATGAGTTACATCCTTCCTCTGCTGGTAGTGTAACGGCCCGACCTGTTTGTTATTGGAGCTACAAATAGCAGCGAGGGGGGGGACGCCCCTGGTGCTGGCCGGTTTACTGCGAGCATCCACGCCCGCACTCACTGCTTATCTGTACACACACACACACACACACCCATGTGGCACCCATTGTTTTACCAGCTGAGCCGACTCAGGAGTCTCAACCGTCGCTGTTTATGGCGCGTTTTGTCTCGGGAACGCGGCCAGCCCACCTGTTCCTTATCTGCTCTGTGCACACACCGACTCCTGCACAGTTAGAGCAGATGCCAGTAACCTTTTACAGCCCCTGTTTGCATTATTTTTTTGTTTGGCGTGAATGCAAAGAGTCCCGTCAGTGACAACAGAGCATCTCTTTTTCCCCTTCCTCTCGTTTTTTCTCCCAGGTTTGGATGACAGCTTGCAGCAGTACGTTTGTAACTTCGAGAGGGAGAAAATCAGCGGGGAACAGCTACTGAAGATCACACACCAGGACCTGGAGGAGCTGGGCGTGGCCAGGATCGGACACCAAGAGCTTGTTCTGGAGGCTGTTGATCTGCTATGTGCCCTGGTTAGTAGACCTAATTCCAGCTGTACCTTCAGAAATGGCGTTTTTTTTCTAAAGCATTGGCTCTCTTGGTCACTGGCTCTTCCCCATCTGGAGCTCCCCGTCCGGTTCTGCGTCAGCGATGCAGGAGGGCGGCTCATTTCCCACACAGCTCAGCAGGGTGTGGAGGCACTGTGGCGCACAAAGCAGCCCGAGGACACTGGGGAACAGCAACATGACTGGGTTATTTAGGTCATGTGCAGTTTGAAACTATGAGGGGCAGTTGATTTCCCTTAATTCATTTGAAATACTCACGTTTGTCTCCTGTTAAAGCTGGAGACGGCTAAATACCCATCATCACAGGTCCCCAAAGAACAAATTGGTTTTCAGTTAGAGAAAAGAGATGAAAACAGTCCATGCTGAAAGAGAAACCAGGTTCCTCCAGCAGATGGGATCGATTTGGAGTTTTATCACTTCCTGGGCCATAAAAGTCCCAGAATGTGGTCTTTGCATTTTGATCAGTGTCAGCATTTCTGTCTTTATGTTCTCTTAAAGCGCTTTACATTAATTGATCCCGGGTGGAGAAACTTAAACATCCAGTCTCTCCTCCTACAGAAAGCTGCGTCTTGCCCTGATGCTGAACTGAAGGCCGAGGGTCACAGTGGCCTGGATAAGCCATCTTTATGACTCAGAAAGCTGTGAGCGGCAAAGGGGATTATTCTCTTTCCTCAATCAACTCACACTTATGTTCCTTGATTTAAAACCAAGTGATCCAACCTGCCCTTAATCAGTTTACTGTACGTTCTGTGCCTGTAAACTCTGGTACAGATACACAAATGCATTTCTGTTGTTGCTTTTTATCTGGTTTAGATGCATAATATGTATTATTATTCATATTGGGCATATGGTCATATGTTTTGCCAAAACATCTTCCACTATCATTTTAATTCCAGCTAAATTCCCAGTAGTTGTGATCTTCTTGTCCTGTTTTGTATGCGCTGCACGCTGTTTCGCAGGTTGATGAGGTAATATTGCACACTCGGCACTATCGCCGCCCTTTCTTTTCCAGTGAAACATTAGGACATGAATTCTGGACTCTGAGCAGCCTTTCACCTCTAATTGAAGCAGTTCAGCTTAATGTTTGCTGTGCATTGGGGGTTTCCTTATTAATGATGGGGTCTCAGCCTTCTACATGTCCCTCGGGAGGAAGTGGGGCCCCGGATTCAATTAGCTCCGACCGGGGGAAGGTCACTGCTACCGACAGGATCACAGGCCACCAGCACCAAAACCGCCCAACGTGCTCCTACGCTTTTCCATTTTTTATCTACTGCTTGGCCAGACGCGTCTATCTTCGTGACACTTGCCACTTGATTTGATTTTTAAATGTCTGTGCATGCATTTGCAAGAAAGATTTAACCCTAAAATAGTATCTCGTCCTGTTAGCAGCTTCAAACCCAGGTCATGAAAACTGATGGCCAAAGTTCGGGCCCCATAAACCTTAAGAAAAGATAAATTCTTTTTTTCTTTTCATTCTTTTTTTTTTTTTTTTTTTTTTTTTTCTCTTCCCAAAAGCTATCAAGTCCAAACTGCTATCTAGGGACAAAGAAAGCACATTCAATTAATTTCACTGGACGTTTCTCAGCCTTGATCTGTTCTGCAGAGTTAGTGCTGAAACCCAACACCTCTTTATTTGGTCTCAAAGCCCACCGAACCACTGGTGACTCATGATATTCTCAGACTCACCTTAGCTATAACCATAAACTACTGAATGTGCATTTCAGAACAAATCACCTAGCCTCATCATGCCTGCAGAAGAGTTTCTCTCTGTCAAGCAGACAGAACTCGATCTTCCTAATATGTAATCTAGCACTTGACCTTAGATGGGACATTATGGCATAAAATGTACACACACTCTTTGGTCTGGCTTCATTTGTATCTTTGCTAGTCAAGTCAGATTCATCATGCCTGTGGTGAGGGCAGGAAGTGATGCGCTGTGAAAGCTGCAGTCCATTTCTCCCAAGGACACTTTTGTCAGTTTACGGACCCTTCAGAGAGCCCCAACATCTGCAGGGCCATTCAGAGCCGCTGCCTCTGCATGATTAGCCTGCAAATAAAATGTATGGAGAAACGTGTGATCTGGAAACGTTCGTGCTGCATTTATGCTAAAATTACAGACGATCATCAGACGATTTATTTACCTTTACATGTCTTTCTTTTGATCACATTTTATGGGCTTTAATGTTTCAACAGTCAATTTCATTTCAAGTGTGGCGTGAGTAAAGATGTCTGTCAGCTACTGTTTGACTACTGCAATTATTCCAGTGCTTTGTTTGGAACTGAAATGAGTAAATTGATTTATATGTTTTTTGAGCGGCAGCAGAATAAAAGGAGACACTAACCACTTGCAGATCTCTGTTGTCGGTTGCCAAACACGTGCTGTTTTCCTCCTGGCAACGCATTTTTGGCTACTGGCACATTACATATTGAGCAGAACTGCTGGCAGCGATGCAACACCCTGAAAGCTGATATTTACAAGGACCAGAGCCAGCCCACCCTTCCTCTGTTTATCCGTAGCAAACACATGAATCTAAAAGCGTTTATTCAGTCAAAACATTAAGAGTTAGCTTCTTAGAAATGCACTTAACCCTCAGAAAGTATGTGCCTTCTGTTACAGCTCAGTCCCCTGCTGATTACTGTACCAAGTGACCCGTGAGGACTGAGCGTGGCTGCTTTGTTCATGTGATTTACTCGTAAATTAAAGGAATGTGAAAGCAGGAAACAACCCAGGCTCAAGAATGCAAACTTTGCTCTGCTTGATAGAAATCAGGTGACGGCTCTCCCCATACCCGCACTGTCGTCACAGACAAGTGCAACAGAGTCATATCTGCCAAAGAAATTCTTGCTACCATGCGTTGTACAGGAAACAGCACCCTGGAGAAAAACACTCGAGGCTTGCGAAAAAATGTCCACGCATCCCTGGTCCAGACTGTTTATTTTTATTCAGACTGGCGTAGCGGGACAATCTATTTTAATCCGTTTTTTCATGTCTTAATTGATAGAATTACGGAGTCGAAACTGACAACTTGAAGAATCTGGTCATGAGGATGAGAGCTGCCACCAATAGCCTGCACATGGCTACGGCTGACCGCAGAAAAAGCCCAGCGTATGATGGAAGCAACTCTCGCAAGCCACCCAACGACTTCCTCACTTCTGTGGTGGAGCTGATTGGCGTTGCAAAGAGCCTCCTGGCTTGGCTTGACAGGTGATTACACTTCATATCCGCACCACCTTTCCGAACAGATATCCAAAAGGCAGTCTGGAAACTAGCTGCTCATCAATATTTCTTAAATTTGGGATGTTTTTATCTGTGTGTAGGATTCCGTGTAAGCCGCAGACGGGATGTAGTCATCTCTGCAGCGACTGAGCTTTTTTAGTCACTGCATATCAGTTTGAAACTATAAATAATACGAAAATAGACATGCAAACGAGTGATAAGAAAGACATTTGAAGAAGTTGGCAGGTGATAACACCTCATTGGCACCGCTAACTAAATCCAAAACCAGAAAGGTTGATACTGCATAAATGTTTATTGCATCAGTTTTATAGAAACGTTGGCTACTGTAATCAAACGTTGGTGATTATTAGCATCATGTTGATTAGCTGTTTTTTTTAACTGTTGCAGATCAGTTTAAAGCTGTAAGCATTATTGAAACAGACATGCAAACTAATGTGAGATAAGATAAGAGATTTTAGTGGAGCTGACAGGGCACCATGTATCCTATTGTTGAATGGCTTTAAAACGCTTTACACCATAAAAGCAGGGCATAGCTAGGATTTTATTGTGATTAAATCATAATTTAATGAAAATAGGATAAAACATAATGAGAATAAGCTTCTTTCTCGGGGGCAAGCTGGGCTAAAGTGGTTACACAGGATCCTGATATGAATGTTAGTTAACAGGACTATGAATTGAAATGAAATGAATATGTGAATGAACATTTCTACCATGTGTGCATGGTGGGATTTGCCATTAGTGATCAGCAGACTACCGTTATATGACATCATAAAAATGCCATAAATGCTCTTTATCTTTTTGTCTCTCTCTAGGACGCCTCTTACCGGTATCAGTGACTTCACAGCCACAAAGAACAAGATCATTCAGCTGTGCTTGGAGCTCACCACCACAGTTCAGCAGGTCCGCACGCCACTTAAGTCGGCACTGCACGTGTGACATGCACACAACAGCCTGTTCCAGCCCAGGGGGCACAGACACGCAGTATAAAATGTACCAGAAAGAGCATTCTGGGAAATATGGCCCGGCAGCCATGACATAGGCCTGAAGCCAGCAGTCTGAGCACATTATTGCAAAAGCTTGTGTTTTTCTTGGGATCTTTCCCCACTCATACTGGCTAATGAGGAGACCCCCTCGGTGTGGGGACGTTTAATGGTAAACGTGGCTTTTGCGTTTCCAGTTTCATAAAACTCCACAAGTGTTCTCTTAAAGGTGGCTGCCAACGTTACCCAGGCTGCCGAGGTCTTTGAACCACATGGTTCCTGTTGTCTTTGAGTTGCCTGCAGCAGGAGAGCAAACTGTTTCAACGCAGCTTGTAGAGTAGAAAGCAGAATTAAAACACATACATCTCACACATGTATGCCCCTTTAATTAAACTTAGTAGAGTTAGCTGCTTTTTCCTCATACTTTCAAGCCAAAGGAAGAGTTTGGTCATCTATAAAAATATATTTAACACAGATTTCTATTTTAGCATAGAATCACAAAAGGCTGCATTTACATTTCTGTTTTTTCTTGCATTTTTCTTGCAGTGAAAGAGGCTGCTTAGACTCCAGGTGTCATATTTTTAGGGGGTTATTGCATCAAAATAATGTCCTTTCCCAGAGTGCCCATTTCCCCTCCACAGTCTGAGATTTCAGCACCTCCTGTGATTTACTGTGGATGTCTCGGTCATGGTCGTCTAGAAGAAGTGGGGGTATACATTTCCCACACTTCCGCGACAAGCACAGAAGTTATGAAGTACAATACACCCCTGATTTGTTCATGTCAAACTGGCTCAGAGCAGCAGACTAATCCCATCATTCATGGATCTAAACTGTAACGCAACCTGCATTTTAAATTTTACATTTGCTTGGATCATTTCTTTGGGTCGGCATACACACAGCTGGTTGCAGAGGGGACTGCCTTAGTAATTAATTTTACGACGGGGGAGGGCGGCGTAAGGTTCGCCAGGGCCGTTCATGAACTTCAGCCAAGAATTAGACCTTTCAGTTCACTCAATTTATGTGTTGTGCCTGAATGCAGGTTGTGTGTCCATACACAATGGAGCGAGCCATAAAACTGTTAGCACGGCTGATCCATCACTGTGGAGTAATTTTATTTTAAAGAAACGTAGTTGTCAAGCTTTTCACTCCTAGATTGAGGGATTATTTTTAAGATAATATCTCCTTTTTTTAAAATAGAAATCTGCAAACGCTTCTGTTGAGATGAGATCAGAATATCTGGAGGCCACAGTTGAAATCCAGCAGTGTAAGGCCTATTTATTTGCTTCTTGGAGTAAAGTCGGTACAGATTCCCGCGTCTGGCTGCCATCATAATTCTAAGCCACTTCTCTGCTCGGCCATCCAGATCTACTCTGGTGGCAGATCAAAAGCCCAGCGAGCTGCACACACTGTCATCTGATCCACACTGGTTGTGGGATCAAGTCCATAATGTGAAGGATCAGGAGACCCTCAGCCTCTCACAGAGCTTAGTTATGATCCAGCCTCTTTCTTTGGTCCTGACAAAGATATGGAATTACGTTTGATATCACAAACAGATCTTAGACGGTTTATCTGCGCTATTGTTTTCACATGATTTGATCCCTTGTACGAAGAGAGAGAGAGAAAGAGAGAGAGGTTCTGTAAATGTAAGAGCTTGTGGGGAGACTTGTCATCGCATGTCTGCAACTCATAATTATATTGTTTTGTTTCACAGCCTCTAAATTTCAAGTATTTTTAGTTCAGACCACTGTGTAGTCATCCAGACATGGCCCAGAAATATGTAGATGCTCGTTTACGTAAGCACGGCCAAATTCTTTCCAAAACCACCACGTCTTTTTTCCTGACATGAGAGAATGCTATGGAAACATGATTTTGGAAGTAAGTCAGATGAAGCCTATCACGATTTTTCCTACCTTTGGCTTATATTTTAGCTTTTTGATTTTCCATCAAGAATTGGAAACAGGGAAGACTTACTTAACCACAAGAATGTAGTCCGCAACAAATACAGCCAAACACTGATAGAAAGGAATCTTTGGGCATTATGTATATCCTCTTTTGATGTGAAAGCGTAATTCAAGGCCAGACACAGTCATGCAAACAGTGCAAACAGGCCAACAGGAGGACAAGCCAAGTGAGTTTGAAAACAGACCCCCCCTTTAGTTCAGTGGAATGTGCAAGCTATGGAAATGCAGAGAAACTTTTTGGGCCTCCCATTTTCTATCTGCACAATGGAATAATGCTTGCTTTATACTTGTGCCTGTCCATGCATGTCACAACAGCAGTTTTTTCAAAAATGTAGATCAACCATAACTTGTGACTTGTGATGGCTCCCAAGAAATGAAGAGAGGGGGTTAAGTATACTTTGACAAGCATTTATTTTCAAGGAAGATCTCCCTCAGGGCATTCTTATTATGGAGTCAGTGCCAAAACATGTCCCCCCCCCCCCAAGTTTTCTGTGAGCCCCCGTCTCTCTGACACGGGTGCCTTTAACCACCAGAAACACAGCTGTCAAGAGAGGCTGTTACCTCAGCTGTGTCCAGTCCACTTCCATGAGATCTGTTCGGGAACGCTCAGGAGAGGTCACCAGTGGACAGTTTCCCCGCTGACTTTGCAGATTCCATCGGCATCACCTATGAATTTAATATTGCAGCTATTGTCTTTTTTTCTTACTCTCACTGACCCCTGGCTCCATGAATCTGCCCAGTTACTACACCCCACAGCAGCATCACATCTTAGTATTTGCAAAAACCAAAACACTAAAACAAACACAGGTTTCCTCCTCAACATGTCATCTGCACGTTCTCACTATATGTGCTTTAGCCATATTTAACTTCCAGGAAAGTAAACAGAACCACAAAGGCAATTATCCTATTTTAGCGTCCACAGGATTTAGGCAAATACCTCATTTAAGGATAAAGTTGTTTATATGTGGCTGCTTTCCATTTTTCTCAAGTCTATATGTGGGATTCAGATTATATCTCACATATCTAACCCCTATACTTGCACTCCACAGCGGCTGAATAACGTTTTCCTCTTTGTTGTTTATGGTTCAAAAAGTTAAGCTGTCATCATTGTCTCCCTGCTACAGGACTGCAGTGTTTACGAGATGGAAGAAAAGATCCTTGAAGTTGTAAGTGTATTGTATCTCTGCTCCTTCTTTCACAGAATGTAAACTTAAAAAGACCCAGAAGTGTCTGTGTGACTGGAGAAAGCTTTAGTGTCTTTTTTTGCAAAGTGGTTGTGTGACATGCATTCAGCACCAAGGTCAGTCTCAGAGTAAAAAGAGTAGACAGATCTGTAGGGTCGCCAACAGAGGAGGCCGCTCTAATACGCCCCGGCCATCAATCAATGTTTCCTGTTGCTGACACTCTCCAGCCTCTGCGGGCTTAAACTGGGCTTCCTCCAACGCTGTAGAGAGCCCAAGAGCTGTCCGCAGTACAACTGTCTTTCCCCCTCCCGTTGTTTCCTTTTCGTATCCCCGCACTCGCCTTGTTCTCTGTTTTGCCCCCCCCCCCCCAGGTTTTAGTTACACTGTTTCTTCCTCTCGGCTGCTTCAGCAAGCATCTTTGTTGCCTCTCGCCGTCAAGTTGTATTTTTTATGGGTTTCCCCGCTAGCTCACGGCCACAGAAAGTGTACTTCACTGCTTGTAGGCAATGGTTGTGCTTCAGCTCCTCTAATGTCAACAAACGGCGGCTTTTGTACTTAAAGGAGCAAAGTGTACTGACTCCAGTGTTACACCTGCATTGGTGTGTCCAGTTAATGGCACACTAAAAAATCCCCGATAGCCTATATAGAGGTGTGTACACACAAGGAGAAGATAACTGATAAAAGATAAAGCCTCTGCGACGCAATCTAACTAGTATGAACATATAAGAACACATTAACCTCTGGTTATTTGAGACATAACAGCATGCAAAAGGGTTTAGTGCGACCACTTGAGATCAGAGTTTCTTAAAGTCTTATGCTTCTTACTTGGTCACTGATGCACTTTGTTTGTTTTTTCTCTCCAGTCTAAGATTTTGAACAATATCTGTGATCAGACCGTGAGAACCACATCTGACCCCCTGATGAGCCAGTCAGCCTGCTTGGAGGAGGTCCAGCTGACCGACATTAGGCCAGGCGAGGGTCTGGTGAGGAATGCTCTTCAATTTGTTTTGTGTCCTCCTGTTTGTTCAACCCAAAATGCTGAGTCTGCTTTTTTTTACTTCATGGCCTGGAATGCATGCAATGTGTGTCCAATTGTGGCCCCTCTATCTCTGTCATATATCTGCCTCCCCTTTGGGAATACTGTTATTATACCAAAGCTGTAAGTAAGGTTATGGGTGTTTCCTTTTAAACCAGGGAATGTACATCAAGTCTACCTACGATGGGTTACATGTCATTACCGGAACCACAGAACATGTAAGTATGAAAGTATACACCCTGCAATAACAAATCCCAGCTCTTCACAACACGACTAATGACTCATTTTCCTAAAAACAAGTTACTGGTTTTAGTTTAAGAACACTCTTCATCCTCCCCCTCAATTGTCGGCACTGCCTGCTGCAAATTCCCCAAGTTCAGAGCTAGTCGTCCATTAAGGGGATGGATAGTCTCCTCACTTCACTAAGCTGGGAGCATCACAAACAGCCCCAGACCTACCTTTTGCGCTCTGTTTGACAACTAGTTGGTGACTAATGCACCGGCGTCACTCCCACAGTTGGATCCTAACATGTCCAATTCTCAGATATGACTCAGTACCTGAATCATCTCAATTCATGAGAAGTTAATCCTTAAAAAACAATCCCACTGTTATTCATACCCAAAAAGAAACACAGTGTTTTGGTGTTTTTTGTTTTTTTTTGCTGACTGACATAAGAAACTGGATGAGTGCCTCAAAAGTATGGTTTATGACCAGTAAGCTTTGAGCAAGCTGATATTTCTGAGAGTGATTTATCCTGTCTTTGTTCTTTAGTCTCCTGCAGACCTGACAAGAAAAATCCATGCCGGTGATGAGGTGATACAAGTTAACCAACAGACAGTGGTGAGAATGTTATTTGCTACATACGTTGAGTTCATAATGACACGTGAATTAAATTAAGACTCTGTTTTAATTTGTGCTCACATCCCGGTTCCCAGGTGGGCTGGCAGCTGAAAAACCTGGTTTTGAAGCTGAGAGAAGACCCCAAAGGTGTAATTCTTCTACTGAAGAAGAGGCCCACTGGCACCACTGGCTTCACCCCCGCCCCGCTTAAGAACATGCGCTGGAAGCCCCCTGTACCTCAGGTGTGTACTCACACGCTTCCTTCGTCTACAAAAAGCCTGTATGCGGCTGCCTAATCATTGGCAACCCATTATGAGCTTTTTGAAGACTTTGTTCCAAAAAAAGCAAGTTCAGACAGAGCCTCTCTGAAAAACTGCCGGCTGAGCTGAATACGCCTTTGAGTTTCTCTTCATGCACAACAAAGGAAGCAAACAAAGTCCCACAATTGGCTTGGGTGTTGCCATTAAAAATATCATTAGAGCGTAAGACAGTTTATTTCTTCAACCATCATCCGAACACATTAAACCAAACTTGACTTTGTCACATCTTAATACCAAACTTTTAGGGGTTTTCCACCCAAGCATACTTGGTTACTTTGCGTTGGCATTAAGGGCTGGTGCCCCCTAACAATTACAATTTTAGCACGTATCCAGCCGGTATTAGAAGTGGGCAGAGTCAGCCGATAGCAAAACTCGATTCCATTATTATTTCTGTGATTATCAAGGTTGTAAATGTCCAATACATGAACCAACACCAAGGTTCGGGCATTGTGTTGTCGCCACGATGTCCTCCATTGTTGTCTGGTGCTTGTATCACAAACAAACAACGTCTTTCTGTTAGGGCCTCATTTGTAACAGAAAACCACTTAAACTGGGGACACGTTGGGCTCAGGAGGTACTAATGGAAAACCCTTGTTAAGTTGTAAACTTAGCCATGAAAAAGCTGAAGGTGAGGACCTGTCTTGTCACGTATAGCTTGTTTTCAGAACCTGAGACGGCAAGATGACGTGATACTAGAATTGGCCTCTCCAAACAAACAAAGAGTGTGAACACAATGGTGGTCAGTGTCTACACGTCCACCACCATCTTGTTTTAACAAGCACTCAAGGATATCGGAGTTCCACATCTCGGTTTATCTCTGATAATAAGACTTCAGAGCCAAAACAGAGACTAGTCACATTCACTGATTCATAAAGGAATCATGAAGACTTTTGGCACGGTACGCTTACCAGAAATTTCTAAAATGATTCACAGGTTCCTGGATTTGAAGGAAACATGTTTGTGGTGAATGAGTATTTGTCTGCTTATTTTGGGTTTCACTCAATGATTCTTAACCTCAAACAAGAAAATTTATGCTCAGAAACACACATAATTAGAAAAGGTCTCACCACATACGCGTGAACTCCTCCCGTTGGCCAGATAGTCATTTTATAATCTGGGGAATGAAAAAGCTGTAACCAGAAACTATAAGCCGCTACTTAAATTGTTTTCAACAGTGACTGGCAACACACACATGAACTGAGTTCATGAAATAAAGGGTTGAACTCTGTGGCAATAGAGAGATAGTTACTCATAACTGCTCTTTACTTTTTCCAGAATAATTCTTCCATGATCAGAGCCCAGTCCCCCTGCAGTTCGGCTAACGGATCAACCAAAAAGGAGAAGCCAGCCATCTTGGACTTGTACATTCCACCTCCTCCTCAAGTGCCATACTCCCCACGGTGAGTTTAAAATTTAAATTCTTCTTATTTGATGTAGCCTTGTACCGGTAGCCCCCCCCCTACATGTAATATGGGTCCATAATATGAGTACAATAGTAAATGCAAGGAATGCCAGGACTACCAGAACTAGTGGCAGAAAAGGCGAAGGCCCATCGCCCCCCTGTTGTGACAAAACTAGTCAACCTCTGCAGCGTTTATGACTCAAAATTTTAAAGCTGGCAGATAATAATTGGACCACAGTTTTTCTCCTCACCTCCTCACCCTCCTACTGTTCATTCTCCTTTACTCATCTCCAACCCACTCTGCTCCCACCAGCTGTAGTCCATAAGAAAAAAGAGCATGACCTCCTCATTGTAGAAACAAGAGGAGGAGGATTCTAACACAAAAAAGTCTCTTAAATTTTCATCTTTATTCTATGTGATTGGATTAAGGCCATTAGTATTTCTTGCCTTTAAATCGTTGTGAAATAAAGCCTCCACTGTGACGCTGTAGAATGGCAGGTTGAGCTGTGATTAAAAGGTGGAATATTTCCTCTTGCAGAGAGGTGAGGACAGAATCTTTCTCCAGCATTAGTAAAAGACCAAAGGGCTCTGAGTCCCCCAACTCCTACCTGGACCAGGAGAGCAGAAGACGCTGCACCATCGCCGATTATGACAAGCTGAGAGCTGGCTGCCCCATTGAAGCCAACGTCATTCACCCCCGAATGAGGGAGCACAAGGCTTCCCGTGGTCAGTACTTACTCATCGGGTTGTCTCATTATCTGACCGACACCGATGCAGGAAGTTGCTCATGTCACGCCGTTTGAAACTCTCCAATTTAAAACTGTCTTCAGGTAAACCGCGGCCACTCTCAATGCCAGCAGATACCTGTGTTGGAATCACTGATCCTTACGCCAAACCCTGGGCACATGGCAGAAAGGGTATGCTTTCATTATTTATACAGGTTCATTTCATTCAGCAATCTTCATTCAAACGGTTGCTTTTTATTTGTTTTGGTTTGAAGTGATGACTTAAAGTATAGCCAGACGATGAATAACTCAATGTGCTGCATTGATTTTTTTTTTTTCTCTTTCACGTTGTATTTTCTTTAGGTGAGGACCTCCTGTACAGATACCTGAGTAATGAGCGGATCACCACTATTGCCGAAGAGGTGCCGTCCGTTTCCCCGCCCTACAGGCCGGCGGGGGAGCGTCACCTCGTCCGAGTGGACCACGCCAGAGGCAGCCGCTACTACTCCAACTCAGACCTCCACAGCAGCGCCACTATTCCCTACCAAGAAGACACAAAAAAGGCCCCCGTAAACCCCATCTCCAAGCGCACGTCAGCTGAACGCTCCCTACTGGTCAGTTGGATCACGCGGCTTAAGCTATTGACTCACTGATGATTTGCTTCCTGTGCGGGGCTTCCTGTTCCTGTCCTGTGTCCTTCCTCAGTGCCTTTGATATTTAACGTCCAGCTGTTTTTGACAGCTTCGGGCTTTCTCACACTCCTCTACCACCCAACCTCCAAATTTCCACGGTGTCCCCGCTACTACCAACTACAACTACCACTCCTCAACCAAACTTGCTTTGTAGTACTCACTACATTAAGTCATTACCCCTTTAACACTGCCCACAATCCTCATGTCAGACTAAAAGCTTCAGCCTCAAGAGGATAAAGTTTATTCAGGTTTAGGACTCTTTGGCCTTGTATGCTCTTCACAGATTGCTTTGTACATATTAAGTTATGTTTCCACGACATTACATCTGGTACAGTTATTTAATATTTTGTTTACTGTTGGCCTATTAACATTTGCATTGATATTTGTTCTAATATGAAAAATGAGTGGAAAATTGTTAGTGAAACTGCTTTTCTTATCATGTTGATTTTTCTTGGATTTAATTCATTTGATTTTTTGGGTAGTTACTTGCATTACTGTTTACCAATGGATGCCTCTTGTAAGCTATGCATTTTTACAATCACTTTAGCCAACAGTGATGCCTTGGTTTAATGAAAGGATCTTTACATCTAGTCACAAGCAAATATTTGTGCACGTTTTAAGGCTATGCACACTGATCAGTGAACTTCTATGTCCTGTATTTGCTTTACTCTGTAATTACCCACCTAATAGGCCTTCAGTATACATACAGCTGGTTGACAGTAATAACTGGTTTCTTCTAGCCAGTATTTTGAACCAATCTTTTGGGACAAACAGGTTAAATTGCCTTCTGATGGCTTATGTTATAGAGCGGCAACAGATCATGAGAGAGAGACGGACAGTATTATTCCAGAAACTATAGGGAGGAAGTGTCTTGTTGCTTTATCTGCCTTTTTGTAAGATTGAAAAAGCGTTTGATTAAAATTCGCAGTTCATTTGAGTGAACTTTTGTTTTGTCTTTATTTTGTCAGTGCATGCTGAATGACTGCCAGATGTCCTCATGTTAAATTAATTTTTGTTATCTAAAAACGACATTGCTGATGTTATTCTTAAACCAGCTTACATACTGAATATAATCATGTTTAATTGAAAGGCAGTTTAAGACGCTATCCCTTTTTCACTCTTGGGCTGAATGAAAAGAACAGACTGTCAGAGCTGTCTGTCGTTGTGACCTGTTTCGCCCTTTGAGGTGAACCCTGCCCCGGTTTTTTAAGCTCGTGGTGAAACAAGATAGCTAATGTCAAGTTACCTTTTCTCTGGTCTCAGATGGTGATGGTTATGTAATGACTTCACTCTTTGATGAACTTTAAATTCCAGCTGGGGAACCATATGGTTGAAACAGGTTTTCCATCAGGGAACCTTTCCCCCCGCACATATGTTGTCTTTTAAACATTTAAACGGCAGGTTAGGATTACCCTGCCTGCCATTGATTCTTTTTGAAGAAGCGTTTCCCTATAAGCAGCCAACAACTCTCATCGTGGAACTGAAGCTTTGACCACTATCAAGAATGACCCTCTGCTTAACCTCTCCCTTTGGCCTGTTGTTTTCCTACTGCATGCATTTCATGTAGAGATGAGCCTCTTCTCTGTCTCTTCTCTCCCTAATTTCTTCCTTCCATGTCTTACTCTGCCCAAGCTTGCTGAGCGTTTGTCGCCTGTGGTTCTCTCTAATTTGCGCTCTCTGAAAAGCTGTGGTCTGCTTAAATACTACCTGCACCCTTTTTAACCCGCTGCATACGTTTGCTAACCACTAACATTTATGCCTGCTCTTCACAAATGGTTTTACAGAATTGATGTAGTGAATTACTGCTGTTTTGTGCATGTGAAACGTTGCATCATATGTGACAAGTGTATTTCTTTTCCTTCTAATTTTTGCAGCCTTTTTATTAAATTGAATGTCAGTGGCAACATTTTACAAATGTTTGGATGGAGAAACTTTCACCCCTGACTGTGTTTTGGAAAGCAACATTTTTTCCAGTCCTCACATTCTTATAAAATTTCAGCTGCTTGCTCAGTAGTTGTTATATTTCCAGATTATACTCTCATTCAGCTGGAAAACAGCTGTCCAGATAGCAGCAACGCTGTTCCACATTTCTACACATTCTTTTGAATGTGCAAATGATCTGTGCCGTGTGAACCATTGCACATCTTCTACATCATGGATAATGGCTTTTGATATGCCCTGAAGAAAAGCTGGATGATCCCTCCCTTCAAGAGCCCAGAGAGAACCATATTTGTGGTTTCCAAAAGCAGAGTTAAAACTTTGATCAGGACACAGGACAGTTTGCCACTTTCTTTAGTCAATTTAAATTGCCTCAAATCCAGAATCCAGAAACATCCTGCCGCTCACTAGTAGTTGCTTGGAATAGAAGCGTCTACAAATCTATTATAATGTAATGGTACAGTTGAAAATGCATTTATGGATGCTGTGACAAACTGGATTAAAGACAATGCTTTGGAGAAGTGTTCCCGAGGCTGTGCAGTGGCATCCACAACAAGAGCAGTTTAGAAAGCGGCTCTGCTCTAAACCGTCTTTGAATTGTATTTTGACCAGCAGATGGTGAGACTACAGGGTCCTCACACTTTTTGCACATTCAGAAAGGTTGTTTTGTTAAATATTCAGCTTTTTGCGAACACACTAACAGATTGTTGAAGCCCTCTAACCTCTACAGTCACTTTATATGCAGTCATTTTACTGACCTGTAGCCAACAAACCTAGATGAATCCGAAATTTTCCTCGATTTAAAAAAATGATATAGAATATTTTTTAATTTTCCTTGCATCCATCCCAACTGTTAGATAAGCATTGCTGGCATTAAACATATAATAAAGATATAATATACATATAATAAACGAAAAAACAAAACAAAAAATACTTTTAATTAGATAGAACATTGCAAATGATGCATGTTTTTCTTTAAGGTTTTAAAAAGTGTTCCAATATTTTGTTGTTTATTGACGAGGAGAACTGCATTGATTATTTGATTTTGTCTCCACAAGAAGATAAAGTTTCTTTAAAGCAACAAGTTAAGATGAGATGAAGAAAAAAATCACAAATCTCTATAAAATTGAACCTTTCAGCACTGACACGTTGACATTTCAATCTTTATGTATCACAGGGACCTGACCAGTTCTCTAGCAGTGACTTCCTCAACCGGTGAGTTCCCTTGAAACTCTCTTCTATATATACTCTGCTATGTAGACTGTAGATCCAAGGGGAAGCATGTGAGCAGGGTGGGCCTAATTTTCCAAGTGGGAGTGACAGTCAGCAGGCTGTGGAATCTTTTTAAAACAAGCCAAGGGTTGAAAGGTGCAGCGCTTTTATGGTCAAAGAAAGCACATGACACAGAGACAAGAATCAGAGTTAGCTTTTGCTCGCCTTTGAACACTAATTGAATTGAAAGCTTAGCTGTCTGTTCAGACTTTTTGCATCCAACATGCCCCCACGCACCAAAGTGCCCGCCCCCCCCGGAGATGCCTTTACATGCCAGAGAACCTTCAGAAATGTCACTGTTATGACAAGTCCTCGTACTCGTTAATGTCCAGCCATAAATAACCCCATCCCACTGTGAGAATTGTGCACATGTAAGAATTTCTCCTCATCCCTGATCCCTGGATTTCTCCTGGTCTTGGGCGCAGACCCTGAGGAGATGTGACACCCCATATTAACAACACGATCGACCACTCAGTGCCTTGCGCAATACCCCTGTTCATCCCCCTCAGTTCTATTCTAAGAGCAGCGCACAAACACATCACATCCGGTTAGCTATACGCTTGATCAAAACACATTACTCACATTTGGAAAATGATGCAGAGAATCACATTGGAAAGCGGTTGACTCATCGCTGGTGGTTGTTACGAACATGTGGCACTGGTGTAGGGAATTGGGTTGATTGACAGCAGCGGTAATCAGATGTCATATTGATTTCGACCGGGCCATCTGTGAAAATATGCCTTTTTAATTTCCTCATGACAAAACATATAATGCTGGATCAGTTTCCAACCACAAAAGAAATTTGAAAGAAATAAAACACCGCCTTGCTGTCTCTTTTAGTGAACCAGTCATTTAAGAAGGACAAAAGTGTGAAAATTTATGGATGACACATGGTGGGAAGCGAAAAAAGAATGTTAGCAATCTAAAGACAGAAAAACCCAACTGGAGTCTGCCGTCATTCCCTGAAATTGCAGGGTGAGTCCCGGTTGAGGTAAACTGAGGATTCTGAACATAAAGATCCAGCTTCTTGTCTACCCAGTGGCTGGTTTCCTACAGTATTATCAGAACTACCGGCCCACCAGCTAAATAGCGCCTCTTTAAGATTGTGCGAAAGAAATCTCTTCTGATTCAAGCTATTTAGTTTGCGGGATCTTTTTAAAGTTCATCTTGCTCTCAGTGAATTTGATGTGTCATACAATGAATGAGTTGCGTGTCTCTCTTTCCAACAGATACAATCAACCACATGTTCGATCCTGGTCCTTCTCTCAAGCAGTAAGTAACTCATTTTCCACCCCTCTGCGCTGTGTGTGACAACACCTGCATACGTCAGTGTAAATTTGCACCGTCCTGTGTGCAATGCGGGGAATGCCTCCAGCCTCAGCCTTGATGAGAGGCGGTGAAATCGAGAGCCTCAATTACATGCCCATTACATTTCACACTGAGATAAGACAGCGGTGTCTCTCTCTCTCTCACACACACACACACACACACACAGACACACACAAACCACAAGATCGGACAACTCAAATGGGACCTAAATGTGTTTCTTCACAACAGGCCTCAGACAGCCTGAATGTACTCTTCTTTTGGAAAAGTGATCATAAACTTTAGCATTAACTACCACATTTAATGAAAAATAATATTATATAAGAAAAGGTCAAATGCAATTCTTTAATGGTGTGATCTAACTCAAGGTGGTCGAAATGTGAAATTCTGCTCTGAAATCATGGAGATATTCAGAATTAAAAGGAGACTTTTTAATCAGAGAAAGATCTTTAAAAGCTCTGTTGATGCAGAGCAGAAACTATAGATTTTGAAGCAATACATACCAGATAACTTTTATCCCCAAGATAATCCTGGTTTACTTTACGTTTACTTTCACGTAGAATGTCTCATATGAGCATAGGCAAGAAATCCTGCATTAAGTAAATATTTTCTTTGAAATTATAATGTTTGTTTTCTCTGTTTGCAAAACTTAAAAAGAAGAGATTATAAGACAAAGCGGTAAACCAACCAGACGCCCACATTTTTAAAAACCTGTTGCTGTAATTTTGAAAGCGTAGATATATATATTTTTTACTCTTAGCTTTAACCACTGCTTTGTGATTAGTAAAATCAGCAAATGGTATGAAACTGAAATGGAGCACACCATATGTGCCATGGCTGTGTTCCTTCCTGAAGCTTCTGCAGGTGGTAAATTGATCATACACCCTCTGGCTTTGGCAGATGTGGAAATGAAATGACCTGAAGGGTAACGGGAGGATTGCTTTGCAGTCCCTGTGCACACAGAAACCGTACACCGCAGTACCAGGAGTTCCTGTCAATCCTTCAGGGGCGCACGCCCCTCACACACCTCCACGGGGGTCAGATGGATCAGAACCGTAGTCACCGGTGGCAAGTGAACAAATCACAGTTGTACTGATTTATAGTCCAATTGTGACTTCTTGTAGCTCCAACAAGCAAACCTTGACCTTGTTGTCAGCCTTTATATAGAGCAGAGTCTATGGAACACTGGCCTTGTTATCTCTTTCAATAATTTCTAAGTGTTCACTGCTTTGTTGCCTCTGAAAATTGAGTGATTTAAAATCAAATCCTGATTTTCACTGCTGCATTTGCAGCGAGATCTCATTTGAGATTTGTGGCCAGTGCCAGGTGACTTGGACAGTTACAAACAGCAGCAGTCGAGGAGCACGCAACCTCCACTGAGCTAGAATCTGATATCAGTCCCCAACCCGGCACCCCTCCCCCTCTTTACACCATGTGAGTTTTGCCCACTGAATAATAGCCACTCTGTTTGTCCCCTCGCCCGTCTCTCTTCCTCACCCCCACTCAGTTTCGGGGGGGGGGGGGGGGGGGGGGGGGGCTTTAACTAAGTGCCATGACAATTCTCAGCATGAATCATGATGGGAGATTGAGCGCCACAATGGTGTAACCAATCTGCTCCCCTGTGAATCCTCAGGGCCTTTGACACAAGTCGTAGGCAAGATGACCTCATTTTGAGCAAAACACCCCACTAAATCAAGCTAAAGGGTTCCCACTCATCACAGAGAGGGGGAAACTGAACAAAATTCAATTGAAATGTTAAACTTTTTTAAAAATCTCTTTTTGGGAGAGGAGTACCAGGAAGCTTTTTGGTTTGAATATGAAAGAGAGGGTGAGAAATGGGAGGGAAAGTTACGGTGTCAGATTGTGAGGGATGAAAAGGAGAAGGGGCTCTTATTATAATGACTTTACTCCACTTGATGCAGTTTGATAGCTAATGAAAAGATGCTCAGAGGAGGCCCGCCTATCTAAGCAGAAGTAAAACAGAGACTATGATAACACAGGACTCAGGAATGCGGCTGCTGGTTTACCACCAGCCCGGCACAGACAGAGGCGCTGCAGGCCCGGTCATCATCGTTTCTGGACACATGCAGCTCCAGTCGGGATGTTATGGCTTCACATTTGCTCCCCACTGAGGCAGTCAGGGGTGTTGACAGGCGGATCACAGCTCCTCACAGAACCGACTGGACACTGTAAGACGAAACATGGGTCTCTCTCTCTCTCTTCTTGGGGCCTGCTGTTGGTCTATTTGGTCAGCTTCACTGGTCAGTTATGACTTTAACACCAGGAAAGACATACACGCCCACGCTCCGTCTCTATGAATGGGCTCATTCAGATATTTGTCAGTGTTTCTAAAGGGATCCTAGTGATAGTATAAAGTGTGCTTTTGCACATGCTTAAAGAGGATTTTTATAACTAAATAAGTGTAACAGGGGTTGGGAAGTTAGAAGTTAAAAGAGAAGAAATCGTTCTATATGTGAAAATATACACATTTAGTTTATCCCTGTATCATTTTGTAGTTTGATTGGGGTAACTATAAATGCAAATGGATTGCAGGAAATGAGTAGAGGTGGTAATAGTTTTAAGATTTTGACATGCTATCATTTGAAATGATAAAGATACAATATTTTCAATGTTTGTCAGAGGTTTGATTGACGTGATCCAGAGATATTGACTTTATTTTTAATTGCTTTCATTTCTCCAAAAATCATTTGACTAATCGGGAAAATGCTTTGCCACTTTCATTAAGTTTGTTTAATCTAAAGAGCTCATTATCAGAAGTCTGAAAGACGAGGGAGGAGTTGAGAAGCACGGAGGGGGGCGGGTGCCACCTAGTGGCCACAACCGGTAACTGCCGTTCCTGCAGGATAGACCATCGGCTTTACCTGATAGCCACTAAAGAAAGAGAACTGTGATGTCACTTATGTTGTTTTTACTCATCAATGGTAAAAACAGAAGACCACCGCCTCTATAGAAGGGCGTAACCCTTTTTTTTAGGGGGGTGGAAGGAAACGCCCACACTACATAACCTGAATTCACCTGAAACCCGCCGAGCTTCCTGTGCATTCCCTGCTGGTCTGCATCTCAGCATGCTTTGTAGGATCTGGTCCGACTTTGAGAGGAAAGTTCGGGCCAAGCTGCTTTCACTGAGGTTGTGGTGGCAGGTAAAGTTTATGTTTTCGTCGCAATCTCTCAGATTTTGTTTGACTTTGTTTACTCTCTCAAGGCTAACAGACAAGCTACTAACCCTGAGGGCCAACAGAAACTACACAACTACAACATCTTTTGTCTTTGAATGCACCTTTATATTGTATTGCATTAGTTATATTTGTAGCAATACTTGATTTAGAGTTTATTTAAACCTGAAAAACATATATATATATAAGTTTTTGTGGGGCTGACCTCTCCAGTAAATTGACATCAGTACATTTCTTTGCAGGCATGTTCATTATGGTTCTTAGAACTTGTCTTGAATTACACTTCCTAAACAGGAAGTAGTTCACCAAACAGATGCACGCCGTCAGGGTTGTGCTGTGGTTAATGTGGCCATCGGCTCGATCCCCCGGAAAACCATTATAAAGTGTTATGCATCTGTGTTGCAAAGCAGAAGTGTTGATCAGGGCTTCCAGAGCCGTGTTTGTCTTTCACTCAATGAGGCTTTAAAGGCCATTGATTAAAAAAAAATACATTTGGACCCAGAGAACCAGGTGTGAGTCCTCCTCCTCTCACTGGAGTTGTTTGTGGTTTGAGTTTATGGAGAGTGAGTGACCGGGAATCTTGACCAACAGCCTGGGTGTTAAATTTCCCTAGGATTTTTTTTCTTTTGTGCCATTTAATGTGGTTGATTGCAACTTTCTTGTGCATGAAAAAATAGACAATTTAGGTCTGAAAAAGACTGAAAAAAGGTCTTTATTTCTGCAGAAAAAAATATTTTTCAGCATTTCGAAGCGTGCTGGCTCTCCCTGTCTCTCTGGTCAGCTTTTCACTTTAGAAATAAGGAACTCAAGACTGCAGAGGAAGTTAGTCAATAATGGTGAATTTCCTAATATCACACAGTGTGCTTTTAGGACGATAGACTGCAGACAGAAATGTTTCTCATGCAACTGAAAGGATTTTGGTCAGACAAACAGCTGAAGATTCCCAGTTTGATTGCACACCTCAGGGTCCTTGCTCTGTCTGCCACTTAGCAAGCAGAAGTGCTGACACTGAACGTTGTGAAAACCTCAACTGTGAGTCAAAGCCGTCAGTGAGCAAAGCTCAACATTTCTGCCACTTTTGTCTGACTCAACTTCCTGTTACACAGATGGAGAAATGACATTCTTTCAACAGGGTTCGGGTGAACGCGTGTGCTTCTTTCACTGCAAAAAAAAAAAAAAAGAAGAAACACTGTGCTCTCTACCCATGACACCACTTCCTCATGATGACAGAAAAAAAAGCATTTTCAGCTCACTGATTTTTTTGTCAGCTTGTACATGTGTTGAGAATTTTTCTTCGGGTTTCCATCCACAGGCTGCCTTCCCCTTGTCTGTGGCTCCGACAATGGCTGCCGATGACTATAATCCTGTAAGTATTCTATCATTTTAATGATATTTGCACGACGGAGACACTTCTGCTTTTCTTCCTATTTGATGATGGCCAGAAATGGATTGAAACAGTGAATCACCAGTTGGATGGTCGAAAGCAGAATCAGCTGTCCGATGTGATAGAGAGTGTTAAAGAGAAGTAAGGCTGAAAGTCGACTTCACACCCAACTATGTCAGGAGGTGTTGGTACAGTGGGTAGAGAGAGCAGCTTAAGACGTGCACGTGAGAAACAGGATGTCCCAAACAGCCTTTTCTGCTCAGTCGCTGCGTCTGAGACCGATGGCTTCCTTTTCTGATCTTCCTCTGACCCTGACTCCTGTTGTCCTCCTCTTCTGCTCTCCTCTCTCTCAAAGGTCTCCCTCCGGCACAAAACCAAGAAGAAGAGCCGAGGAGGTAAGGCAAAAGACACTGTCCCTGCGTGGGTTTTCAGTAGTAATTTTGCCCACAGTGGGCGTGCGTTAAGTGGCAGGGCAATTGGTGTGTGGAGAGGGACTGTAGACAGCCCCCTGGTTACTTTCACTTCACTTCTACTGTATGCTGGCTCTCTGCGGTGTGTCTCTTCTCATCAGAGAGGCTAAATTTGTTTTTAATGGTTGTGTTATTGCAATCGTACAGGTAGGGTTAATGTAGCTTAGGCGTTTTAAATGCACTGTTCCCCGGATTTTAGGTGGCTTTGTTCAGGGCTGCTTACACGCTTCATTTGGTTATTGATCATGCTCGTTGACCTATTTTGACTCAGATGGAAATGTTTTTGCCTGTTTGTGTAGGATGTTTCGACTGCAACCTTTTGCTTCCTCTGTAGCCCGACTTGGTCGTTACTGGGGCTTTGTTTGTTCGTGGAAAGCGGGGACACGGTTTGTTCACTTCTGCACATGGTTTGTCTGCGTATAGGCAATGGTACGATGAGCAGGAGGAGGATCTCGGTCAAAGAGCTGGGTCAGCCCGACCACCAAGGCTGGCTGTACAGGAAGAAAGAGAGCAAAGGCTTCCTGGGCATTAAATGGAAGAAGTACTGGTTTGTGCTGAAGAAGACGGCTCTCTACTGGTATGCCAACCAGCTGGTGAGTGAAACACTGTTTTATAATCACAAACCTCACTTGTCACAGAAAGTGCAGCAACAGTTTCATTAACTCCAACCTAAACCAAACACACACTGCAGCAGCCTGATTGAAGCTGTCGTTGGTCTCTCTGGGTCCCACCGGCCACCACACAGCTTATTACTTCTGTTTTTTTTCTCTGGGTTCTAACATGTTTTGGCCTCTCTCTGAACCAACAAGAGCCCGTCTCTGTGTATTTTTTGCTTTCAACATAAGTAATAAAAGCATTTAAACCAACAAAGCATTAAGCTTATTAAGCTCATCGAGGTGTGACCATTTAGTGAACTCATAAATGCAGTGGAGTACACTATTTTTGGACATTTTTGGATGAATAGGCCATTTTGGGTCGTGGCCACCGGACTTGGAAACAGATTTAATCTAAGTTTTGCTTTTGATCTTTTCATGGAGTGTCTATAACTTTTTTGACATATGATAAATGTAAGAATCTGTTCCTTAAATGTTCTGCGGTAGTGGCCAAACTAAGAACAAACGCTGTCTTAAAAGCCCAACTATGACAGCGCCTCCAATTTTAGCTTGACTAATTCATAGTGCAAAAAAAAATGGATATGAAAAAATGAAAATAGGTCTCCCATTTTTGTTATTCGTTAGAATTAAATAAAACTGCAACCTTTCCTCTTTTATTGAATAAAAACACATTATTTTTCTGGTTAAAAATCATCAGTTTTTCAGCATGACTGTTATTTTCTAACCCATTGTTGTTTAAACCCTCCATCTCTTATTTTGGTTTTTCTTTCTGATATTTTGCAAAGTACAGCAAAATCCCCAAAAACCAAATACAGCTTTGATCATTTTGAAACCTAAATCATTAGCTTCTTGTGAGTCACAGTGTGAGGCTCTGCGGACTGCACATGACTCATGCTTGCTCCCCCCCACACGTCGCCCTGCATTTCGCCTCTGCAGGAGCTGCCTCGCTGTGTGACAGCGTTTCCTCAAAGTGCGTCTTTCTCCAAATCACAGAAATCGCGGAAACCAATTATTTACTGGCACGATGAAGTCAGTGAGATCTAATTTTGACAGCAAAGTTTCTCCAGACAAATAGACGCCTGGCAGTGTGCTCGGAGGTTATTGCGATTCAGCCTCACTGGTGTCATGATCAGGAAGTTGTTCGTCACAGAAGTGCCAAATGTGCGTTAACGTTTGTTGTTGTTCAATCTGTGCATTACAGGCAGAAAAGGCCGAGGGCTACATTGATCTCACCAACTTCATGATAGACATAGCCATGGAGTGCAAGAAGAAACAGTAAGCTCACAGTTTCTGTGCCTGTTATGATCCTCCCAAACAGCAGCAGCCGGAATTAAAATGAACTTTATTTATATCTGAGGTTGAAACTGAAATGTGTGATCCCACACATTGTTCTGGGAAGTGTAGGATGAATAAACACCCTGTCAGTGAACTGATAGAGCTGAACTTGCAGATTTGACTATCTCCATTTCTACTTTTTTAGATAGTTCTGCATTTTCCCCTAAATAAACCCCCCCCTGAAATACATTATGTTTAACTCTAAAACTGAATTAAGAGACTCGCTTGATTAATTCAAGAAATGTATATCAAGTGTCACCATCTTGTGCTGTAATACTTGTAAATAAGTGTTGTATCTGATAATCAGTCCTACACACTTGCTCGAGGCAGTTTTACTTCATTACTTACCCAAGGTAGCTATATGCTGCCACCTACTGTACCAGAGGCTGTGAGAAAGGATTTTCCCTAAATATGTTGCCCTAGAATATAAGGAAAAAGCTAATCCCAGATGTACTTTTTGCCAAGATGATATATTAAGTAATCTGTCTAAATGCTGCTTTTCATCTTTCAGTGCATTCAAAGCCTGCCATCCTCACGTCATGATGTTTTATTTTGCTGCTGAGAGCCACGAGGACATGAACCTGTAAGTCAGACAGATCAAAGTTTTCGTTCAAATGGAAATCTTTTGTGTCAGCACATTGACTGGTTCTCTCCTTTCAGTTGGCTGAATAAGCTTGGGCTCGCCTCTATTCAGTATGAATCAAAAGATCAAAACACTGCAGCCGGTAAGCACAATAGGCCGCGTCTCTTTTAAAAAATAGTATAGAGAATTTTCTGCTTTTGCACGAAGGAGCTTTTCTATGTTATTAATTGGGTCTTCAAATCGTAATGTTTGTGTCCCCTCACGTGAACGTGGGTGTTCAGAGTGTTATAGTGAGGCCAGTGATCACGAGGAGGCTGAGAGCACGGACATCCCACCTCCGCCATACTATGAGCAGACCACACGGGATGCGTCCAGTCAACCTGGTAGTTCCCACCAGGTCAGTCAGACATGAGAAAACATCAAAAACTATCATTTTTTGTGCGTGTGTGTGTTTTTTACCTGAATAGATGCTGAAGAAAACCGATTTTTAGCTGTAACTGCGGTGTGTTTTTCTCTCAGGGCACCCTCCCCCCGCCATACTCGTCGGCAGTGGCCAGTGAAGCCAACGGTTCGCTCTCGTCGCCGGTCAGCACGATGACCTCCCAGAGCTCGGCCTCCTCGCTCACCAAACAGCGGCAGTCCTGGTTGGACCTGGTCTCGCAGACATCTCCCTCGACCGGGGAAACGGCCGTGGTGTGCTCGGTCCAGGTCCACACGCATCCATCCCCACAAGAGGAGGAGATGCCCGTGGAGAGCATAGTTCCTCAAGACTCGGACTCAACTGGGTCCAACGAGGAAATCCAAGCAGTGGGGACGGAAGAACAGAGGGAGGTTTTGGTAGTTCAGGACGAAGGTAAATGTTTCTTTGTGTGCTTTTAATTGTATTTCTTTGATTTAAATCAATATTTTCTCAGCTTTAAGATGACATGATGGATATCGTTACACTATCTTTTCTGGCACATTGTTCTATTTATAATGTTTTTATGTGTTATTTGATATAACTGATGCCTGCATGTGCTGCTGTTTTGCTTAAATTCTCCCTTGAGCTGAGCATTACTCCTTGTGGTGTACTTGGAGTAATATATTCCAACCTTATCTAGTTGCAGGAGGCCATGGAAACAGTTCAGATGAGATGGAGAAGCTGTATATTCATCTTAAAGAGGCTAGCCTCTCACCCATAGGAGATCGTAAACCTTCCACAAAGAGAGAATTCAGAGCCTCGTTTATCAAACGCTGTAAAAACAAGAATGTTAATGACAGGCTGCACGTTATCAGAGTGCTCAACAGCACATTAAAGGTACATTTTTCTCTGTTTATCTTTTTGAGACTGTATGGCAGTCACAGTGCAAGATTTCCAACAGTGTGAGGATGTATTAGTTTATTCATCTCAATCAGATGTCATAATTAACTTCCTTGTTTTCCCTTTATTTTCTTTTAAACAGTCGAAAGAGGCAGATTTACAGGCCATAGAGCAGGTGCTGTCGGACCCTAAGCTGACCTCGGAAAAGTTCAGAGAGTGGAAGGACGCAAATGCACCCCTCTTACAGGAGATCTGCAGCAAACAGGAACAGCAGGTGGCGCCAGAGGCCGTCAATAATGCAGCACAGGCCATTGCTGCTCCTGTGGTTGAGACCAGTTTATAAAGACTTTTCATGGCTTATTTACTTGTTGTTGGACTTTCAGGAATTCGGTCACATCTTACACACACTGCTGTCAAGGACTCTTCTGAGACTCCATTTTGGCTATAAGTGGATATTTAAGTAGGAACTAAATGTATTGATGAAGAGTGGATCCAGCATGGGGATGGAGACATTAGGATGAGAAGCTCACATCAAAATGTGAATTGTCTTAGTATTACTTTTACTCTTCAGCTTGTGGGATTTGCAAATTTCGCAGCTGATTGTTTTTATGTTGCCAGTCTTTGAACTTATGCATGGAAATAATGGAGTATGTTGAAATAACCATTAGATCCATTATTCCCTACATGGAATCACATGTTTTTATTGGGATGAGTTATTTACTTAAGCTTCAGATGGAGAGTACATTCTTTGTTTTTTTAAATGTTTCTGTGACTTACCGGTGCTGTGCACCCTGAATGCCTGTTACACTTTTTATAGCAGTGATTGGTGTTCCACATGCGTTTCCTCTGATATCTTGCCAACTAGTGAGACTTTTCAGACTGAAAAATGCGGCATGCGCTGACATCATAACACAATATATAGGTGGCAAATCCTTAGTCGTGTCACAATTGTTTGAACATTTTGTTCCACGAAGTCAAACCACCCTTTAGATTTAAAACTCCAAGATGAACACAAACTGTTTTATTCAAAATTTAAATTTTGAAATACAATTTTTTAAATAGAATTTAATAAAGTTGACGTATGTGATCAAGACTATACTAGCTGTATACGTTTAACGTGGGGGTGGGGGAAGCAGTATTTGTTAGCATTTTTTGATAACATGCATGGATAATTGATGATCTATGAAGACTGCCTGGAACTGTGTGAACCAGCCAGGCATACGCTGTTCTAGATAGATGGATATGTTTGCATCCGGATGTAGATGAGGGATAATAAGACAGGTTTATGAATCTCAGGCTGAACTAGGACCTTTGATCATGACTGAAACTACTAAAAGTAATTCTCCTACTTTCCACATATGGAAATGCCCTTTGTTTGCCCCCTCACATTTCATCTCTCATGCATGTTAGATATTTACTTGATGTAAATAATTGTACAGTAATGCGTGATGTTATTTGTATTTGTTTCCTTGGGCTTTCACATCCAGGGAAATAAAGTATTGTTACAGTCTATCCAAGTTGTTTTTTATTGTTGCTGATTCCACTATATCTGCATATAGCAGCTGCAAAATAGTGCTATAACCATTAAATTTTTTGATGATATAGCATTTATATTATTAATTGATATAACGTTTATTATAACGTTTGATACAACGTTACTCCATAGGTTTTTCTGAGTTTTAGTTACGTTTTCACAACTTTTAATTTGAACTCGCTAGAGATTTTCCACAGGTGGACCTAATTTAACTAATTATGCAACTCAATCATAGGATCTGGATATGAAAACGTAATCAAAAAGGTTTTAAAAATGTATTTTTGATATTTATATTTAGATATGTTTTTGTTCTATTAAACAAATTTGGTCTATTTTTAAAATAATACAAAATAAATGTATTTGAATTAATTCAAAGTTGTAATGCAAACTTAAAAAGAAGAAAGAATACAATGCCAAGGGGGTTGAATCATTTCTGCACGGCTTTGTATGCCATCTGTTTGTTCTGCAGATAGGCCCAGCCTGCACTGTCCCAGAACTGTCGCTAGGAGTCGCTGGTCTATTATTCCCTATTGAGGGTATGCGCCATATTGGCAGTCTCCTCCATCTCAGCAAACGTCGAGCATGCATCTCTCATACCGGTTATTGAGATATATGTAAATATTTGCGGTGACCTGCGAGCCGAAACACAGCACGATGGAGGCTGTCAAAGCCTTTAACAACGAGGTTTGTTGGAAACCCTTGCAAAAATGTCGAGTATTTCCAGGATACGTTTTCAAACTCACATTTGCGGTAGCTATTTGGCTAATGTTAGCATCAGGTAGCAAAGAGGGAGCGGAGGGTAGTATCACTCCAGGCCGCTGTTTTCACAGCGGTGGAGCGATAACCGTACTGAATGTGTAATTTACGTGTTATACACATTCAAGACTGGTCGGTCGCTTTTGGCTAAATATTAGTATATTATCTCATTTGTTTGGATGATATTCAACAAACATACTTGTTAGGTTTATGTTAATGTTAACGAGCTAGCAAAACCGCCTCAGTTACGTGATAACTTGTGGACAAAGTAACATTTAAAGGGAAGAGTAAAACCCTTCTTCGTATAGAGATGTCTTGTTGTAAATATGTCTCAATTAACTGTTGAGGATTGTACCAAGTAATGTAGATAATGTTGGATATCCGAAGACATAAAAATAGCTAGCTATGTTTACCGTTAGCTACTATACGGCTCAAAGCTAATTGCTATTATTCGTCTGCATTGACACTGAAGTCTGCACTGTAGCACGATTCATGTAAATGCTTACCTCTGTCCTCCTTCACTCTTAATTCTATTATCTTTGAAAATGCACAAATATCAGAGCCTTTGTTGAAAATTATCCACCCTTTTTTAAAATTATTGTCAACAAATTGAACATTTATTGTCTAAGGACAACCAACTGAATGAGCTAATGATGCTTTGGGTGACTACTTGTTCACATATGGTTACATGAACGTAATCATGTCTAATTTAGCCTTAAAAAGATTAAATATGACATGCTGTGTAATTTCATCTTTCAGCTGTACTCGCTGAATGAGTACAAGCCGCCCATCTCCAAGGCCAAGATGACCCAGATCACCAAGTCTGGAATCAAGGCAATAAAAGTAAGTATGTGAAAGGATGGGGCAGGTAATTAATGAATAAAGAAATTGTATATGGTGGGAACTGTTGTCCTCTTCTTACATTTCTGAGTGTACCTGTACTCAGTTATAACTTCAAAACATCAGAAACAACATATGCTGTGCGCCTGCTTTTGTTCAGATGAAGCATCCTCCATAAAGCTCCCTTCCTCTCTTAACCATAGTGACTGTTGACAGACAAACAAATTAAATATAGTTTTTATTTTTTTATTTACCACTGTTTATCTTCCTTGTCTTCCATCAAATGTCAGTTTAAGTGGCACTGTTCCACATTACTGTAATATGTATGGTGTATATTAACAAAAAGTCCAGATTCTCAGCTTTCTGTTGGTATTGGAATTTTTGAGAGAGTGACTGTAATAAACCTCCGGACATATAAACGTGGCATAGGTTAAAATAAGCTTTGCAGAAAATCAGAGAAATTAGGTTTTCTCTGTTTTTGGGCTGTCCTTTTTGCCAATTACTTCATATATAGCTCTTGAAAATATTAACACAGGTTATGTCTAGAGATAGACAGTTGGTGGAAACTCTCCTCCTAAGTGCTATTAAATTGTATGATGGAATGATTGAGTAAATGTCATATACTTGTTAGTCAGCTGTTCTTGGAGGTTATTGAAAATGTTGTATAAAGTGGGTAGAGAGAGCAGCTCAAGACGTGCTGCTCACGTTTACAGAATAAATCATTGGGTTTCTCTGGTCAGATCCATTAATGAGCAGACTGTTAGTCCTTTCAGAAAGAAATTGTAATCATTTTTCTTTTTAACCCCAGTCCACTTTCTGTTCTAATTTTATGTTAAGGAAATATATCTCAAGCCTAAATAAACACATTATAGCAATAACTGATTTATGTAAAAATAAAGTAAACATCTCTTAAGTACTTAAGACTGGAGACTGAGGACAATCAAACTAAAATGTGCCAAAACAGGCTCTGTGTAAACAGATAGACAAACTCTCCTCTAAGGCATTGTTGGCTGTGTTTTAATCTCTTAACAACAAATGGCAACAACTTTATATTATTTGACAGGATTAAAGTGATGTTGAAGGCTCAATTTGATAAAATTAAACTAATTTTCTGCAATACCTTTGATTTGTTTCACTGATTGTTTGGGGGAAAATCACTTTAAAAGGTTATTATTTCGTCCTTGTTGTGATTTGCATTGAGATCGGTTTTTAAAGGGTTTACAAAGAGACTTGAATACCATCATTTTTAGAAAAAATATCTTCTAGACACTGATTTGTAATGGAGAAAAGCATAAACCTGCAAATGTCCCTTTCAGTGGGTGTGGTAAATGCATCTGGATATAAATAGTGTTCCCTCTGTCCTGCTATATGTATACTTGGTGACAGCACTGACTTTCTTTAAGTCTGAACAGCTTTTCAAAACCTAAACCGTTTCTTTTGGAAACGTTTGCTAGCGTCTTTTGATATATGTATTTTAATATAGCACCTTTAGGTTTGATCCATGTTATTTTTTTTAAACGGACATCTAAAGTTATGGAGGCTTATGTTTAATTATGGAGCAGTTAGATGGACATCCTGACCTTTACACTGTTTTTAAAGTTTTAGATTGTGGCCATTTTGATTCTATCTCTTGCACTTATGTTGTCTGGTTTTGTGTCTTTGTAGACAGGCTAACTTAATTACTCTATCCCCCAGTTAGCATTTTGTACCATGCATCAACATTTTATTCACCAATTTTTTTTAGTTGAACCTTTCATCCCTTAGGTCCCTCAGTAAAGCTAATGTGAACATGTATGCAATTAGTTTCAGTTAGCATGCCACTTAGAGAAAAATGAAGAAACAGAGGCATGTTTGCCATTTAGATCTGTTTTTAGTTCGTCATTCTGCCCCTCGCTGTCAGCAGCACACACAAATGTTGAAATCTCGGTAGCTGACCCTTCTGATGCTTTGGGGTCATTTCATCCATTCATGTACCTCATGGTTTTTGCCACATAAGCAATTTGAGTGACGTATTTGGAAATCAGGGAACTGAAGTGCAGAGAGACTGAGCAGCTGTGTGTCTAAAGGCATCTGTACGACATAAAAAAACAAGCGGTGAATTTATTATAGATGATAGAAACCATCATAACCCACTTCAAAGTGAAACAAAATCCTGAAGAATTTATTTTAGTGCCATTCCCCTGGAGTCGCTTTGCTTTCTTAGTCCCAATGCCCACTGTTAAGGAAGAAGACTGCAGTGAGTCCAGCAGGCTTGGAATGATACTAGGAGTGGTTTTGGTGGTGTCACAGTGACCATTTCTCAGGGCATATTTCCATCCTCGCTTATGGGCAGCTATTAAAAGATCTGATGTATTTAAGAGTTATATAAGTAGTGGTAGGATCTGAAGAAATGTGCCGAATCTTACAACCCTTTCACCTTTAAGTTGTGTCGTTTTAGAACAGAGTCTCACGTTTTTCACTCATCAGCAACATAAAACTCCTAAATCTTTCAGTAATAATACCTCTTTTCATCAGTCCCACCATAACTAGGTCAGAAATGGGATTTTTTAAAATAAATGTTCAAATCAAGATTTCTTTTAAATGTTTTGTGTGTCTCTGTGGCTGGTTTCCTGCACCATGGTCCTTTAAAAATTAGGGGGGGTGATCAATAATCTCTGACCTGGTGACCATCTTTTACTACCATTTTATTAAATTCACACACTTTTTAAAAATGTTCATGAGAGCTTTTAAAAATTCAATGAATATTGGAAATAAATATGTTCTCATTAATGTTGTTTTAATCAGTCCTTCTGTTGCGTGATGAGTTGATAAGACATGACATACGTTCAGGACACCAGCCTTCAATAAATTGCTGAAAATGTATTTTATGTCATGTTTGTACTCTTATTTATGAAGAAATTGTTGCCTTTGGTGTTGCCTGCGAATAACACCTGTCTCCCCTTCCCTCAGCAGCTCTCCCAGCTCCCCCAAAGCACTGAAAGTGAAGCAGGAGGATGGGGTGGAGAGAGTTACAAAGAGATAAGAGAGTCCCTTACCAGCTTAGGTAGGAGTATGGGCTGTTTCACAAGGAAGATGGGAGAGGACTAAAGCTACTTAATTTGCTCCCACACATCAGTGAAAGCAGGGTTTTCTTTCTGGTTGTGATCCGCTGGTTGATTTTGGCTTGTCTGAGGCTGGTGGTGCAGTACTGTCTTTGATAATTGGCTTATTTAGTAGTTGTAAGTTAATGCTGTATTCTCTCAGACATGAAATGGTTGAAGCTGGATTTGTCATTGGTCATTTTGTGAGTTTTAAATAGAGGGAATCAGACAACTTGATGTTACTAATCTATAATGTCTTGACCATTTTTTTCTTACCTATGCAAATTGCGTCAGTTCCTAAACACCCATCAGAGATTTTCAGTGAAGCTGCACAGCAGATCTTTGCACCACAGGATGAGCAGGGTGGAGTGGTTGGATAAGGATATCCTAAATAGTGTTCCTTGTCAAACTAATCAGCAGGAATACAGGAAGGAAATTGTAATTGGAAGGCAGGTTTTATTAGAACAGGCTTTGGTTAATGCTTAGTCTGACCACAGTGTTACACACATTAAACATTAAGAGTGGTCACGCAATTTGAATTTACATGAGAAAATGTCAGATGTTCGGCATAATTCTTTTTTTGTCAGCACTTCCTGGTTTATCAGTGAGAGAGGACCAGAGGAACCCTTTCCTTCTGTTATGCAAGGCAGAGGTGGTTTTGTATGTATGTGATCAGACTCATCCCAGACTTAAAGTGTTTTATTTTTGGTTGTTTTTTTAAGTTTCACAGTTCTATCAAATCAAATATCACTCGGCAGTGAGCAGCAAATCTCTGACGTTAGACCACAATATTACATAAGCCCCAACAGACCTTACACATAAGATTGAATTTTCACTTTACTATTAATACATAAAGCTGAAAAGTTCAAGAAAAGCACAGTTATATTATTTGTATTATATTATTTTGAGTGTTGTCATTAAATCTCAACATTGATATGATTATATTAAACTGAAACTTATTATAATGAGCCAAAGCAGTGTTGGATATTAGAAACTAAATCAGATCAGTTCTGTGTCACTTCACCTGAACACACCTCATACTAAGCACTAGTTGATGTTTCCCCGTCATATCATCATGACGTTCAGCGATAACATCACATGTAGCTGGTCTCCCCGATAGCCTGATCCTACTGGGCACAAGTGTCATGTAATCTATTCTCACATCCAGGCCTGTTGGTGATTGCTCATGCTGTGTGTTATACAACAGATCTATGATCAGTTTGGTGTGTAGACACAGCTACTGGCACTAGCCAGCCTTTGGGAAACAGACAGAATCGTGCCTATTTTATGTAACTGCCATCTAGGTGGAAACAGCTGGTTTTGGACTGTTGAGGTGACTCCTGCAGCATTGTGATCACAGGATCCAGCGCATGTCGGTTTTCTCTCCTAATTTTGTTAATCTTTGTACATTTGGCTTTAGCTGTATATTTTGTCTTTGTGTCTCTTGTTTTGTTCCGTTTCTTTCAAACATCTTTCTTAAGCTGTTTGATTCTGCACAGATTGTTGTTTGCTAGGACTCCTTTGGGACGTCAGTGACGGTTGACAGATAGTTATCAAACTGACATACAAGCAGAATAGGATTTACAGAGGTATGAAGTGTTAAATTTCTGAAGTAATGGAGCATATGGATGCATATATGAGTATTACTAATACTTTATTATCAGTGATGACTAGAAACAATCCTGATTAGTTTGACTCCATTTTGTTAGTAATAAAGTAAATAAGGATCCAAGTGCCAAACTAACTTAAAGAATATTTGATGTGGGGGTTTTTTAGGAGAAAAACAACAAATTCTGTGAATATTTTCCAGCTGTCAGTGGTATGCTGTCAGCATCACTTCAGTAGCATTAACAGCTAAAATGGCATCATAACAATGAAGAGTAAAGAGTGTGACAGTGACTGCTAATCTTGTCTATTTATTTCTATTTTTAGGATTTATTTACAAGTGGTGAACAAGACTTCAGTGATTTCTAAGATTAGCACAATTTTGCTTCATACTTCCATACTTTAAAACCACTGTCTTTCAGAAATTGTTTGCTTAATTCTGTTTGATTTATAATAAATTATCCCCACTTTTCAAATCCATACTTTAAACTTCTCTGGAGGTTGAGTTACATAAGTGACACACCATAATGTCTCATTTCTCCTGACTGAAGAGTATCAAGTAGGGCCTAAACGTTTAGTGTTCAACGTGGAGTTATTTCATCATACTCAGTTGATATATGAAGAGGATTTGTACATTTTGAGGAGATCCTAATCCATATTTTCCCTGTGCCCTCAATTCAGTCTCATTGTTCTAATGTGAGAGATGGCATGCTTGTTGATCACCCAGAATTCAACCACAGCTCCGGATGTTCCTCATTTTATTTATCTAACTAAAGAGGCAATTGACATGTAACATTTCATACAGTGAGTTCTTTTTTTTGGTCATTAAGTCTGGCTTGGAAATATCTGCCCTCTGAGATTGTGTGCATGGTGACTATTCATTTGTGTCTCATCCGCTGTCACAGCAACCAAAAACAACTGGTCCTCCACCGCATTCAGATTAATTTGCTTCTGACATTTTAATCAGATTACAGCTAAAGTACAACTTGATGCCTGCACTGACCTCTCCGTGTGTGGCTGCTATTTTCTGTGGGTAAAAAGTGAGGATCTGGCTGCTTGTGTGAAATCAAAGAAACCAGCAGAAACAGCACGTTTGCTACAGACTTTAGCCCCTAACTACCCAGTTTAAATGTGTTTAAATTCATAATCAAATCTGCTCATGCACACGTTACTGAGAGATGCTGAAACAGTCAGGAGAGCGCAGAATGGTAAAAGTAGAGATTGTTTTATCTTTCTTGCTCGTGATTTTTTTTTACTTGTGCCTGCCTTCATTTTCTTCCTGAGCGTGAACTCGAAAAGCCTTTTAAATCTTTAACCTTTGGCACTGCAAAAACAACGTTAATGGCTTTTTCTGATGATGCCTTTGTTCTAAATCTTGATTTTCCAGGAGCTCATGGTCTTTTCTTAAGTCTATAATTCCAATCCAAAATGCTGATAAGCAACAGAACAACATAAAAATCTCTGCATTTAAACAGTGAATTCAGTGAACAGTTGGAAGGTTTTACGATGTAAAATTAGCGTATTATTAGTGTAATTTCAAACACCTTGCATGGTTTTCTAAAAGTAAAACTGACCATTAGGGAGTGACTAAGTGGACATACAATACATAGTTTAGACTCATAATTTAGACCTCTTACCCAACCATCACAGGATCTCCGCCTCTTATCCCAACCTAATTATAAATGTAACAGGTTAAAAACTGTATTTTCCACTTTAATTCAGTCCATCAATGTTTAAATTAAAAGGACTTTAAGTAGTTTTTGCTAACTGAATAGCGCAAATAAGATTTTAATCCGAAACAGGCATGAAAACAGAAAGATTAAGGTGATGTTATTTTCTCATCGAAAAGTACTTTATATACAGAAAATATTTATCCTGTCACATTGTTGTTGTATTTACAAGCCTCTAGTGTTGTAATGTTATTATACATCAACAGTTACCGCTTCGTCGAACACAATCAGCGGTTTGTGTCCTGTAGATTAGAGCTGTACATATTTTACTGCCTATATGCTTGTGAATTTCAGTGCTCAGAAATTATAACTTTTTCTTAGATATTTATTAATGATAGTTTGTAGCTGATTTAAATCAGGTATCTAATTTGGATAACTGATAAGTCCACACTATAGTGCACACTATATACATAATGTGTCTGTTGCTATATTTATTTCTGAGTCACCACAGCTGTATAAGAAAGGAAATTACTTCCACAAACAAAGCTCTCGTCCTTTTTGCTACAAAAAGTTGACTACAGAATAGTTTTCAGCATGTCAATTAAATCAGGCTTACTGACTGGCTATTTGTTTATATATTAATATTTTTAATACAGATTCATACCCCATATGACCATTTAGAAATGATTGGATAGAAGTAATCTATTCTATAATGCTCCTTATTATAACAAAAAGCTTGAACCTGGATTTTGTTGTCTCCGACACCTATTCATCACTGTTCCATGTTTGTGTGTCTTTCCTGCATTACACACATCTGCCTCTCCATCACCACAAAGCTTCACATTCAGCTCTTTGGTTCGTAGCGTTAAAACAAAAGAATCAAAAGTGTAGAAAAAAGCTTTGGGTTTGAAATTTTGGCCAATATTATCATTAATTTATGATGTCATTTGTTGGATTGCTCTCTGCTGATGATTCTGCAAAGTAGTTTATTACAGGAAAGTGCCGGCATGTTAACACATGATGGTGCTGGCATGTTCGTCTGAATTAATGGGAAACTAAATCAATGGCTAGAGAAGTATGTACTTTTCACTTTGACGAGCGTTCCTCCACTGCCAGTTGGAATTCAAATTTAACCTTTTACAAACGTCAAACGCTGTTAAACACAGCTGTTGTCACTGGCAGAGTGAGCTGTACTTCACAGTCAGGCTTTTTAATGTCTTCATACATTTATTATGGTGGCAGAAATATACGTCAGTCTACTAAAGATGGAATAAATAGTTGTAAGACAAGTTTAAAATACATTTGTTAAAGTGATTAAGGTAAAAACTGTCCTGTTACGTGTCCTCCAAATCATGTAACTGACACACTCAGGTTATTTCTGCATCACCCATTAATGCTTGAATAAATTATACATCATGGTTTTATTGGGAATGTACAGCCTCACACCTAGATAATCATATATATTTGATTAAAAAAAAAAAAAAACAGTGAAGCAGCAGTTGTTGAAAGTCTGAGTTGTGCTCTCCCGAATGCTCAGGGTAGACCAATAGCAGTGTTAAAGGGCAAGGTTAGTTTCTGTTGTTGGGATCGTTGTCTGTCAACTCGGAAGTTTAAAGTCATACCCCAACTTACTCCAGTCTCCGTATCAGTAGGTTAATTAAAAAACAACAAACATATTCCTAAGCAGTTTTTTATATGGGGCAATCTACTGAATCCTGTTCATCTCCTGTGGTTTGGCTCCATCTGCTGGTTGACTATGTTATTAATAACAGGGACGGGATGGAATTGCTGTGGGTAAAGATGTCTGTCTGAATCTGAACATGACCATTGGGATTGATCTTGCCTTAAAAAAAACAAATAGAGAATAAGTCATTACCGGGTGATCATGTTTTGTCATCTTTGTACAGGCAGTTGTTGGTGTATATGAAAATCCTGTTGATGCATAGAATTAACACACAGTTGTGAATCAGCACAGATTATTTTCTTCAAATGAAAATTCAGTCATTTCTTTAGTCCGAAATTGACCAGGTGCTCAGTGTCTCTGCTCTGTGTGGCTTGTCTGGCTTTCAGTAAAAGATGGATGGTGGCACATCATGCAGAATTGGAATTGAAAGCATTGACTTGAGAGGTGGTGAAGCTTTCTGGGGTCTCATAGTAAAATTCAGCATATCTTACAGTATGTTCCAATTTTACTTTGAAAGAGTGAATATGAGCAGCAGATGGCACAGACAGAACTAGCTGATTTAGTTATTTCTACCATAAATCCTCTCAGTAGCAAGCAAATGGCCTAAATTGTTTGTTTTCATTGCCACGGAGCCATGGAAGTTGCTTAATAGACCTTACTGTTGTTTTCAGGCGGGAAAAGGCAGTGTAGCGTCAACTGGCAACAAATGTAATCCTAACACACTAAACAAACAGTGAAATTAAAGCCAATTAAAATGTTATCAAGCAATTGTGTTGGGGACATTTTATAGTTTAGTGGGAATATTTCTTTATGTTGACAAAGTCCATTTAGTTGATGCATATTTTGTCAAAAGCCAGACTCACCTCTGTCTTGGGTGTTAGGTTTAGTAATCACATCTTCTGAATAAAAAATTATTTTCAGTACGCAAAGAAATCAGGAATTGTAATATTTGAGCATTTTCTGCTAATTAATCTAAAGCTGCTTCTTTTTCACTATGCCTGGACTCACCCCAAAACACACCATGCTTCTAGTATTCATAGATGTCAGTTTTTATTGATCTGGAATTGCTTACTAACCACAATGGAAACAGAGTGTGACAGAACTACGGCCTCTCTCTGTTTTGCTGTTATAAACGGGAACATCCCAATGTGCCCCTTTATCCCAGTTTTGCTGAACTTTTCCTCCTTTTCTCTTCTGTTTTGTAACAGCTGTATTTTATCAGACATTTAGTGGGGCAGATGCATCCTTTTTATTTCGATTTACTAAGGCCGAAAATAATCTACTACACATTTAAAAAAAATTATGTTTTTGTCACTTTCCCTGTTTGATTCTTGCATCTTTAAATGAATATTTGGTTAATTTCTGTCCAGTTTTATTTGTCATTCCAAGGCACATCACAATCATCAGTTTTGATGTGTCATTTTGTTCTTTTGGAAATGATCCTCCCATTAGGGCACAACACATGCTTTTCATGCAGAAAAAGGAGGGCATCTTTAAACTGTGTTCTATATTTACATGGTGTCATCAAAGAAATGCCATAAATGGACTCTTATCTCAGTCTCATCAGATCCTCAACTGCAACATTTTAGATCAACCTCACGTTTTCCTAAGAATGTTATAGACTGAAATATGGTATTTAAAGTACCATAATAAAATCAGATAGTCTGTGCCAACTTGCAGATGCTTTTTTTATGTCGGAGTGAAATTGTGTGCAATGGTAAAAAGATAACTGGGATTCTTAACTGTATATTCAGTGTAACATAAATGGTCCCGGACCACTTTTACACTCTTGAACGTCTGCTCTGTAAGTGCTTTTTATCTCTGTTTTCTCAGGTTTTCTTTTTGCTGAGCAGCTGTTTCCTACTTCAGCATTCTGTAACAGTCAGCTTTGATATTTTTTAATGTAAATTTGTCTTCTTTTGTTTCAGTTCTACAAGCATGTTGTCCAGAGTGTAGAAAAGTTCATACAAAAGGTAAGCCACTGTAAAAACTGGGACTAGTCAGTCATTACCACATTTAAAGTTTCTTCTCTTAAGTTGAAATGTGCTGAATTCATCTTGAACCTGAGCTGTAGCTGTAGCCCTACTCCCCCCCGAGTGTCACTGTGTTTGCTACACACTTCTGCAGCTTGTGACTTGCTTTTTGAATGTTATTACGTCACACAAGTAACATGTAAAAAACTCAAAATGGCAAATTCATAGATCTTCTTAGTGTTTAAATGGTAACTGTCTGTTCCTTCTGCAGTGCAAGCCAGAGTACAAGGTCCCGGGACTGTATGTCATCGACTCCATTGTGAGACAGTCACGTCACCAGTTTGGAACAGAGAAGGATGTTTTTGCCCCACGTTTCAGCAAGAATATCATTGCAACATTCCAGCACCTCTACCGCTGCCCCTCAGATGATAAGGTGGGGCAAGTTTTAAAGGCTTTTGTTTAACTCTCTGTGGTCGTAAAGCCCTATAACTTTTGAACTTCATTCAAAGTGCTTTTACTGCGATGTCATAGTTGTTTTTATGTGTTTTTCTGTTCAGAGTAAGATAGTCCGAGTCCTGAATCTGTGGCAGAAGAATGCAGTCTTCAAGAGTGACATCATTCAGCCGCTGCTGGACATGGCAGCTGGTATTGCTCCTCCCAGTGCCACCCCTGTTCTGCCCAGCAGTGCGGCTCCCGTCAATAACACTACACCCGGTCAGTCCCAACTCAGAGAAGAAAATCCGATCACAGAGAAGCATTTGACAACGCTCATGTTAAATTTGCCTCTCTTTCTACTAGGTACCCCAGCCACACCGGCCACTCCAGCAAACTTAGTGCAGAGTTTGCCTGACTGGGCTTCCCAAATTACTAACACGGACACTGTGGCTGCTGTGGCACAAATCTTACAGAGCCCCCAGGGACAGCAGGTTAGTTAGCTATGCACAGTTACGGTACTGATACCAGAAAAAATACATTTTATCTTTAAACGTTGATCTGAAATACAGCATGTCAAAACAGTTGCATATTTTTATACAAACTTGCAGTGTTTCTTCTGTAATTTGTTGCCGTTAAAATTGCGCCATTCTCGTTGTGTCGCAGCTTCAGCAGCTGGTACAAAGTCTGCAGATGCAGCAGCAGAAGCCTCAGCCGTCCCTGCTGCAGGCCTTGGACGCCGGCCTGGTGGTGCAGTTACAAGCTCTGACAGCTCAGCTCACAGCTGCAGCTACTGCAAACAGCCTCAACCCCCTGGAGCAGCGGGTCTCTTCCTTCAATAAGGTAACAGTTCAGGCAGTAGGGTCCTGATTTCCCTTTTTTCCGTTGTTTTTGGTCCCTTCTTATGTGGCTATGTTTTGGATTTGTTGTAGAAACTTTTGGGTCCTTTTGACTTTGGGAACGATTCTGAACGCAGTGAAGAATCTAAAAAGGACTCCTCATCATCTCAGCTGTAAGTTTAGTTTGTTTTTTCCTCCATACAAACGTATATTTTTCTAATGAATCTTATGAACACGTGTAGGCCCATGGTGTCTGAGCCCATCAACAGCTCGCTGTTCCATCAGCTGGCCGAGCAGCTACAGCAGCAAAACCTCGAGCAGTTTCAGAAGCAGCTGCTGGAGCACCAGCAGAAGGTATCTCAGTCAGACTCCATCATCATGTTTGTCCATGTTCAGTGTTGCCATCCCAAAAAGCTTTCAAGGCCTCTCTGCCCTTAATAGGATCATTTCTTTAAAATTTTCTTAAAAAAAAAAAAAGTGCATGCAGGAACTCTGTCCATAGTGCAATGAAAAACTGTTGGTTGAAAACACCAGTTGATTCATATTCTCAGATCTTCCTTTGAGGTGTTTTATTATTTAGATTTCGCTCTGCTGTCCATCCTCCTCTAGGCAATGAATATAGAGGGACAGGACTCAATCTTTGGGCAAGAAAACTCTGCAACTGCTCAGAACAGCAGTCAGCCACAACTTCCTGAGCCAGAGAATAAGATGGATGACTCCATCGACAACCAGCAGCAGGTAGCTGTGGCAGCTTGTAATTAAATCTCATTTACTGTTTTTTCTTGACATTAACACTATCTGTCTTTAGGATATGGATCTGGATGAGGGCCCTGATGGAATGGAGGGGGAAATCTTTGAGGCAGAGGAGAAGAAGACTCTAAGCACTAGGTCCAGAACACGTTCTAGGTCACGCTCTAGGTAGGTCCCTCGAATTTTAACTGAACAAACCCATTAATATAAAGAGAGTTACATATAATGTGCTTGTAAGAAATTATATATTGTGTTCAGATCTCTGATCATTCATTTAAACTGGAGGCTGATATGTTCTTTGAAATATTTTCTGTATCAGGTTCTTGTACTTTATAGTCATGAAATGTAAAGGCTAGTTCATGATGGCCGAAAAGTAAGTTTGGAAAAGTTCACCAAACAGTTTTTATTTTCTTCTGGAAGGTCCCCCAAGAGGAGACGATCCAGGTCCCGCTCTGGCTCACGCAAACGGAAACATCGCAAGAGGTCACGGTCACGTTCCAGAGACCGCAAAAGGAAGTCGTCTCGATCTTACTCCAGTGAGAGACGTGCCCGAGAGAGGGAGAAGGAAAGGCAGAAAAAGGGACTACCTCCCATAAGATCCAAAACTCTAAGTGGTAAGAGAAAGACATGGTTGGCTGTCGTGGAATATGTACAATTTCATTTCTTACCGTTATTTTTTACATCAATCTAATATTTAGTCTTTCCATCTCCCCCCTAGTTTGCAGCACAACTCTGTGGGTGGGCCAGGTTGACAAAAAGGCCACTCAGCAGGACCTCACCAATCTCTTTGAGGAGTTTGGACAGATTGAATCCATTAACGTGAGTTGACCGATGCTCCAGTTAACCCTCTAATGTAACTTCAGTATGTCAGCCAGTTCCTATATTTACAACATCTGCTGTTGAAACTGGCGCTTTCCACCTGCCATCTCTCCTTCACTTTTCTGTATCTCGTTGTGCTTTATCTTTTCCCTCATTAACTCTTTGATTTTCATTCTGTGTATAATCTGTGCCCCTGCAGATGATCCCTCCCAGAGGCTGTGCCTACATCTGCATGGTTCATCGACAGGATGCATACCGAGCCCTTCAGAAGCTCAGCACTGGCTCTTTCAAGATTGGCTCCAAGATCATCAAGGTCCCCATTTACAATTGAATTCATGTTGTACTCAGTCTCTTTAATGTCTAATTAGATTTGTCCATTGACCTTCATTAGTGAAAGTTCAGTTTTCCAGCCACAACCATGTAATCTTGAAGATGAAAAAATCCTTCATTCTCTTTGACCTTTGTTTATTTATCTGATCCAGATTGCATGGGCTCTGAACAAAGGTGTAAAGCAGGAGTACAAGCAGTTTTGGGATGTGGACCTGGGTGTCACCTACATACCATGGGAGAAGGTCAAGCTTGATGATCTGGATGGTTTTGCTGAGGGTGGAATCATTGACCAGGAGACTGTCAATGATGGTAAACAGACACACTTCTTATTTTACCACGGACTTTGTCTGTTTAGGTCTATAGGTCTCATGATAAATGCTTAAAAGCTATTTTAACAGGAACTTACTGCCATTTCATCATGTTACTGGAGTTCTTTATGCTCCCTTTCCTCTATTATTTTTGAATGGTAACGCCCAAATTCCTACCAAAATGGAAATGTAATGAAGATTTAGGATTAATCAAGAATCTTGAAAATCAAAAGAAATGACTGGGAAATAAATATTAACATAAAATATTCTGTGTGATGACAGAGTGGGAAGCAACCAAGAATTCTGAGCCTTCCAAAGAAGTTACAAGTCAGGCTGTAAACTCTGAGTCCGCAGCAGCATCCAATACCCAAACTGAGACCTACAGCCAGCAGGTCACCATGATGCCCGTACAGGTACAGAAAGCGTTTCTTTTTTCTGTGGTTCCGTTTCACTCTTTTCTATTATCACGACTGTGTTGTACCACAGACTTGGACTGAAGCGTAAACGTCCACTTACATGTGTTCAGCGTGGTGTGTTAAGAGCAGTCTTTTCTGTTTAAACTCCATTTAGCTACCGGTGGCCCAGGCAGTTCCCGGTGCAGTTGGTCTGGTGCCTCCTACCTTCCCAGTCACCATGAGCATCCCTCCTCCAGGCTACGGGCCACCCCCACCATTCATAAGGGCTGGATTCAACGCCACACAGCCTCCTCCAAGTGAGTAACGCAGTTACAGAGCAATGTAAACATCAGAGTAACATGAGTTCGTATGCTCATCATGAATTATTTTATGTTGTTCAGATTTCATGCAAGCTGCTCAGACTGCAGGCATGCCTTCAGCAACTACGTGTAAGTTTTTTGGGGGTTTTTTCCCACCTGCGCTCCCCATAACTCAAAACCTGCTTATTTGTTTGAATGCCCTTTTAGAAATTGTCAATAAGTTTTTTTGTCTCTTTTTCTTCCTTGCAGCCCTGGTACAGCCATCCATGGCTTCAGGCCAAGATGCTGTCAAAGAAGCAGCATTCAGCTCTATGATGCCTCCAACCAGCACCATCCATGGCAGCTACATGCCTTCAGCCATGCCTGGAGCTGGGGTGTTCAACCCAGTGGGGGTTCAAAGTCAGCAAGCCCCAAATGACAAGACTCCACAATCTGCAGAGGGTATGGATGCTGCAACAGAACTCACACTACAAGGTGAGATCTTCTTTACCTTCTTATTGAGTTTATATTTGGATTGATCAGGACTTCTTGATTTTTATTTAGAACGAATTGAACCCCTTTTTTGAATTGTGTTTTTTTGTTTGTTTGTTTTTTTACTCAGGCATGCAGAATGCTGTCCGCAGTGGAATGGGTCTACTTGGCATGCACCCCACAGCTTCTCTGGCCCATCCCCTCCATCAGTCTGGCCTGACTGGACAGAGAATGTCTGGCTTGCTGCCCCTGGATGTGCGACCTAACCTCCTTCAGCCTGGAGCTGTTGCCCGTTTTCCTCTCCTCATGCAACAGGGCCATGCCCAGCAAGCTGTTAGTCTCCTAGACAGTTCCCTCCAGGCTCAGGCCCGACAGAGGGCAGCCTTTCCTCCTGTGGACCCCTTCAATAGGGCACCCAACATTAATAATGAAAATGTACCCAAAACTGAAGACGAATCCTCCTCAGGGGCTGATGAGGGCAAAGACCAAGACTACCGCTTCCCTCCAATGGAAAAGCAGAGCACAGGCCTGCTACGGACCCCTCCACCAGAGCATAGAGAGCCACTTGGGGTTGGTGGAGGTGGCAGAGCACCCTTACTTCAGACCCCTGGAGCCCAGCCTGGCAGATCAAGCTTAGTTGGACGTTTGCAGGCTCTTGCAGGCTTCCCTCCCGACAGCCGCTGGAACCAGGCCAGAGGGGACTTTGATGAACGAGACGGGGTACGAGGAGGCCCACAGCCCTCCGGGGGTCCTAAAGGCTTTCAGGATGAGCGCCCCGCACCTGGGCAGAACTTTCACACTCGCTTTGATAACCGTCCTGGAGCAGCTGGGGGGGCAACAGGTGTAAATGCTGGAGCTGCTGGGGGCTCACAGCCCTGGAACCGCAGTGGTGGTGCTGCGGCTCCGTTTGACAGTGACCTACATAAAGACCTCGATGACCGCAGACGTCCATGGGAGAGGCAGAGAGACCGAGATGAAAGAGATTTTGACTTCAGAAGAGACGTGAATGGTAACCGTCACAGCCGTGACCGGGAGAGGGAGCGGGAGAGGGAGAGGGAGAGAGGCCGAGAACGCACCCGAGAGCATGAGCGCGACAGAGACCACGACAAAGAGAGAGACCGTGAACGTGGAGGCTGGACACCAATTCTTCCTCTGCCTACACCACTGCTCCCCACTCCCCCTCTCAACCCCAACCTGACACTAAATCAGGGCAAACTTCTAGCGCCGCTCAAGTTAAACCCTCAGATTCAGGCAAGATTCCAGTCGCCACTTCTGCCTCAGTCTCAGGGCAAACCTCCTCTGGGTTTGAACCAGCCACTGCCTCAGGTTCAAATCAGGTCTCCTCCTCCAATACAGAGCCAAGCACCTGAGTCCGAGCACCAGTCAGAGACTGCAGCTCCAGCTGAGCGAGCTCAGACCCAGTCGCCACCCAGAGCCCATTCACCCGACCACCCATCTGAGAGTAAGGCTCAGCCTGAGCCTCCCACGCAGTCCCAGTCATCGCCACAGCCACAGACCCTCCCACGCACAGAGTCACCCCCCCAGCCCACTGCCCAGCTTCCCTCAAAGGGCACTGCTCCTCCACACACCGTGATCCCAGGCCATGCCTCGCAGCTGGCCGAGTCCTCATCCCCAGACTCACCTGTGGCCTTCACACGTGCTGACAGCCCCCATGAAGAGCCAACTCACTCTCTGGAGAAAGAGGAGCCCCCTCAGAAGGATGAGGAGGAGTCACTAGAGAGTGCCTCCTCCCCTCCATCCCAGTGGGTCAATGGACCAGAGAAGGACAGTGTCAGTGTGGCTGAGTCCTCACACAAGGCTTCTTCTTCTCAGCTCTCCCCAGACCCTGCCTACGGTTCTTTGCTCCCTGACAGTGAAAAAGAGCCACAGCGGGAGCAGGTCTCATCTCCTAAGGACCTAGACAATGAACAGAGTGAGCCCATGGAGGAAGCTGCGAGTCAGCCAGTGGTAGACACTGTCACAGACACTGAGGGGACATAATCATCACTCAGTAGGTAAAAGATCATTTTGTAAAGTTGTCTCTTCTTCTCTGTACTCATGTCAGCAAACCACCACCACAACACGGGACATGGCGAATATTGACTCACACGAGTTGTTGTCTGATAACCAGTAACAATGATTTTATCTCTCACAAATACCAGTGTACTTAAATAGAAGGCTCATTAGGTGATAACTGGGTAGATTTTGTTTGTATTTTATTTCCTTTTTCCTTTTTTAAGTTGTAAAACCACACCTCCCATTTTAAATAATATAAGCTTGGTAAATTTTTATTGAATTGCCTGCCCAAATGTTTCAATTGTATAAGGGGAAATTAGCTTTGACCTTCCTATGGAAGAGTGAAAAATCCTGGCTCTTTTGGATTGACTGCAGATGTGGTACTTGAAGCAGCAGCTACTCTCCGATTTCTGTCTCCTCTTCTTTTAAACAGATTCTGCAAAGTTTTTATCATGAATGCTTTTATGATGTCCTTCAATACATTGTGTTGAAACAAAACAAGTGGCCCACATTACAGTGAGACCAGATCAGCTGCTTTAAATTGGAAAAAAATACAAATATAATTTAAATTGAATAGAAAACTTGAAAATGTTGTACCCCCAAAATAAATGTCTGTAATTTGTTTCTAATTCTACACTGAACACAAACAGAACAATCGCTCTCCAGGGGGGAGAAAAAGAAAATGAAGAGAGGGATTTTCTGATGTCGGGTGCATATTGTTTTAGTTTGAAATAAACATGCTCTGTCTGTTTCAAAACACATGCTTTAGGACTGTTTTCTGACCCAAGACCGGTGGAAAAATAAGACTGCTTTACTTGACGGACTCATACACACTGTGTGTTGTCACATCAGCCAATTTGTTGCTGTAAAGTTGCTGCTATAACATCTGTCCACAGAGCACTTTGTTGGATGCAACAGCGGGACTCATAGTTTTTAGCTTCTGATGATTTCAGCCTGTATGTTTGCCTAAGCCTTTGCTGGGTGACTGTTGAGGATGGATTTGTGCCTTTATTTGAATGGATTTGTGGTTCACGATGCGATCCAACACATCTGTGTGCGTGCAGCTCGGTTTCAGAGGGCTCTCTGAACACAATGCTCCCTGCACAGAGCTGCCTGACCCTCCCATTAAACGGTAGCTGCGCAGTTTGTACAGCACTCACCTAGAGGAGAACAATATGTACTCCATTCTGTGCATGCAGGCCTGTAGCCATGTTTTAACCTTCCTGTCTTTCTCCATTTCATACTCGTAGTGGTTTTTCTGTTGAGACGTACTACTAGATATCCATAGTCTGCTGTTTCTCACAGACCAAATGTCATATACAGGAGTTGTGATGTTGAATAAAAGTTGAAGGTGCATCTGATTTTTTTAACGCTATTATTGTCATGAATTTCAGTTCAAGCTGATCCCGTGAATAATTCCATACACAACACTCCAGCTTGAAACACTAAAACAAGCCTAGTTTAAACCAGGGGAAACACAGACTTAAACTGTAGCTGTACTTTAGGTATTAAGAGACATATTGTAAAACTAAGCTCATATACATAAGCTCTTACATACTTTAATTACAGGATTTACTCAGAGGCATATGTAAATACCCACTAAATAAATGTGTTCAGTTTTGAAGATGGAGTTCTGGACATAGGCCATTTCCATTCAACACAGCAATACTTAATGTCACACCCAGAAAGAAAGCTGAAAATCATTACCAGAAAACATTTTTTTGAAGTAGCTGAAGCACTGGGAGTTGACAAGGTGTCCTTCCATGTAGAAAAATCACTTGGTGCTTAATTTCTGCACAAACAAAAGTGAGCAGAGGAGCATCGTGGGAGGGCAGATGGGGGGTGGATGGTGGTTACTTCCCTTCGCCCCATCCCAGCTGCTACAGCTGGAAGTAGTGCTTACTCAGCACACGCTCACACCAGCACATCCCGCTCACTTATGGCCAGGCGTATTGTTGGAAAAACACGTGCCCGAGGATTTATTAGATATCTTATCTCAATCATGGTGTGCGCTGGTGCCCTTTCAGCACTTTTTGTTTTTATAGAGGAGTAACGGTGGGAGAGGAGCGGCACAGTGAGCCAAATGGTGTCTGAATAGTGTTACACCTGAGCTTAGAATAAGAAAAAAAACACAAGAACAAATAAACGCTGATTTGGCTCATGGTTGAGCATCTGCAGATGTGCTTGGGAGTACATCTACGCTTCTAATATGACACACTCTATAAATTCCAGTCTCCCACCTATCTCTCACCCCTCCATTGAAAGATTTTAGCCAGCCGCTATCTGCCCCCAAACTGACAGCCGCCTGTCTAACGGTTGGCTACCGCTCCCATGGACAATAATAGGATAAATCCTCCTCCTGCAGTTATCTGTGGGGGAGTGAGTTCCTTTTTGCCTGGAAATATGAAGAAGCTTTAAAATATGCCCCGAGTTTTGATTAAGGCTTACTCAGATTTCTATTTCTCTGCAGATCTGCAATCAGACTTTGTCTGTAATCTGAGTCTAATGATGTTTACCAAACCATTTGTACATCACAGCCCTTTTAAATGCTAGCCAGTCCCACGGGAGGCAGAGCACGCCTGACCTTTAGCTGAGGATTACCCCGCTATGGGCAGCTCATCAGAGCACCGGGACAATAGCGGCTTGAGCATTTTGATGCGCTGTCAGTTCACGCTCTGGTGGAAGTAATGATGTGTGATTTCTAACTGTGGGTCAGGTGCCGGGAAGTTTCCTATTGTGAGGAAGTCAATTAGACTGATTGCTGTAGGTTAGCTTGTAAAGAGGTTTTACTGCAACATGGGGGAATCATAAAATTATTTTTTTCAGACTTGTTTGGCTGAAAAGAGAGATCTGCATTATTTTTACGAGGAGCATCTCTCAGCGGTTGATTAGAGCCCCGCCCCCCCCCACAGATGCTGCTGCTGCAGCTGCAGCCGGCGGGCTGTCAGTACCACGTCTGGCCATTTGAGGTCAGCGCGGCACCGCAGAACTCGTCAGCACGAGCGCGGCGCCCGCCGGATGGCTGGGAGTGCGACGGCTTAAAATCTGCAGTGCTCGCCTCTCTCGCCTTCTGGCTTTTTTGTTTTTGTTTGCTTCCACGCATGTGGATCAGCACACGTCGATCCATTAAATTGCCTCTTTTTTTAAACATTAGGCGTTAGGATGAGGGCTCCGAAAATTTGTCTGGTGTGGCCGCACGTCTGTGCTCCCCTCAGACGATCCTCTCCCTGTCGTGTTCTTCAGATAAATGTGGAAAACACAAAACAGAAAACGTGATCCTTTCAGTGTGAGATTTGGAGCTCAGTTGCAAATTTTTACTTGCTGCATTCGTAATTGATCAAACTATTGATTGGACCTTCTTTAGCTCCAAGACAGAAAAAAAAAATCAGCCTCTGTGTGCCACTACCAGACACTCAGATTTCATATTGCAGGAGTACGGCAAACAGGGAGCAGGGGGGGGTTTGTGTTGGGGTGACGGCGTGCGCAGATTCTCTGCTGCTGGAGGAGGGATGGGACCCAAAGAAAAAAAACAAACAGCCGTCCATCTTTCGTCCAGCCAGATGCGCAGGAGTGGAATCCCCTATCTCTGCTCCCACTCGCTGCCACGGTAATTACTCACCACTGCGGGAGTGAGCGTAACTTTTTTGTCTGCTTTCAAGAAACCTCTCCGTTATCACTGCCAGCAGACTCTTCTCCACTGGGAGGTGTCCAAAGTGCCCCCCCCCCAACCCCTTTCGCAGTCAAACTCAGCCTCGTCACAAGTTCAGCGCCTCTGCAGGCGTGTGCAAATTGGTTTAGAGGTGAGCACGGTGGCCTCTGGTTTTTAATCCTGCTGCCGTCGACGGGGGATTGGGCGCCGTGTTTCCGGCAGTGGGCCGAGAGAGCGGCCCTCTGGCCATAATTCGGTTTCCCGGATGAGCTCCGATGCCACCAACAGAATTAGCTTTGTGCTTTTACTAACTGAAGCAAGTGGAGGAAAGTTTGTGTGGCCGACGTTGTGTGTCGGTGGTTATTTGGTGTGTGTTATCACAGAACCGTGCTCATTAGTAAGCATGTGGGAGCGCCAGTTGGGGCTGACACGGGTCACTGATTCAGAGATTCGTTGGATGGATGATGACACCCGTTTACTCCTCAGTTTGGCCGTCTTTCTGATTGCTGGCTCCAGCCTAAATATCGGTGAACGGTGCTGATGCTTTCACTATCTGCTTTCCGAACGGCGGCGGCACTTTTGTTTGCGCCTCTGCTTCTCGTCTCCGGCCGTCTGCACCTCTGGCGGGGTGAGCGCGGGGCCACCGGGGAGGGGGAGGTTACAGGTCAGCCCCGCTGGAGACGCGGGGGGGGGGGAAACCAAAGGAGTTGTCAGGGAGACGACCACGAGCAGCAAACACCTTTTTCCCGAGTGCGGGGCGTTTGTGTGTGTGTGTGAGTGCTGACGGGGGAGCTTATTAAGCCTGCCAACACAAAGGAGGAATGCGCCTGTTTGTTCGGAGGGGAGGAGGATGGAAAGAGGGGAGAGAGGCAGGCGTTCGGAGGTGCTGAGCAAGCGGAGCGAGCTGTTTGGCGGCGCAGCACATTGTGCCGGAGAAAAGAAAACCGGGGGGAAAGTGGGAGACGTGAAGTGCTGGAGGGGAAGAGGGCGCCTCTCTCTGGAGGCCGAGCTGATGAGCGGCAGGCCTGCTTCCAAAGGTGTCTTCACACGCCTGTCGTCGTTACAGACACCTGAGAAAAAAACCTCCTCGTTAAAAGGGCTGACTCAGCTTCTTCCTGCAGATGTGACGGCCGCATCATCGAGCCGAGGAGCAGGCCTCATTGTTTCCATGAAGGTGTGTGTGTGTGCAGCGTGTGTGTGAGCGTCTACCTGCCCACACAGGAACAAAAGGTGTTTGTACCCACCCCCGACCCCCCTCACCCCACCCCGGGTGCTCCCGTGCTGCTTGTTAGCGCGGGCTAGATAATAATTAGCCCTGAAGGCCTCCTGGTTGTCTGCGGCTTTGTTTACAGTGGTAAGAGGCAGAATCCCTCCGGAGATGTCGGAGGCGTCGCTTGTGAAGTGCGCAAAAGAGAAGGAGCAGACGGTGTCAAATTAAGGAGAAATCAAGGAGGAAATTCCCCGACTCACCAAAATCCCTGAATGTTTGGAGAGCGAGGAAGAGGAAGCTGGCAGATTTGCAAAGACAGAGGTTGTGCGACAAAACCTGGTAGTTTTGTTTAGCTGTGTAATCGGTTCACAGGAGAAAAGTGATGACTTTGAAGGGATATAAATTAGAAATATTTGGAATGTTTCGTCTTAAAATGAAGGGATTGTCGTGTTGACACCTGGTCTAAGTGTGTGATTTGTAATATAGTCAACATCTCCATAAACCTTTTTTTTTTTTTTTAATTTCAGTTTTTCAGGAATCCTTCTCATTATGCAGAAAGTGAATGGAATAGCTTCTTTCCATCATAATTCATATTGTGCTCCGTTTCAACTCTGAGACAAAGACAACTGCCACATTACACACATTTTTTTCCCTCTTTTGAAATTCCTCAAATGGCACTGTCCACCCACATCTTGATAGTCGAGTTAAAAATCACAATGAAGTTTTTGTAGGAGTGAAAAAAAAAACAAGCTAAAAGAGTCTCTGCTGTCAGCTGGTAGTTCATACAGAACGCTACTGAAAACTGCATCTGAAACATCTTTGTTTCAGTTCAGATGACTAGGAATTAGTTTTTTCTCCTTAACGGAGCACAAAGAGTCATTGTTTTTTTTTTTTTTAAAGAAGAAAATGTTCTAGTTATACAACAAATTCCTGCCATCATTTCCTGATCCACAAATAGCCCGCTCACACAGAAATCCCCATCACACAATGTAAAACACAGAATATTTTAATTCTTAACGCACACATGTACATGTTATAAGCAGAAACCATCATAGTTCGCGTCCCTTTGTTTTTTTTCCCGTATTTGAGGCGTGGCAGATAAGCTTTAGTGCTCGTAAATGGTATGAAGGTTTATGAAGTTTATGGTATGGAGTTTAAAGTTCCCACAGAGGGAAGCGGTATAAGGATGAGACACATAAGGATATCCCAATGTTTTTTCTTTAAATGCACCAGAAAGGCACTTTTAAAGTAAATGTATTAACGTCGTTTTATTAGAATTGAATCACAAAATGTCAAAAAGTGTGGTTAATTCTTTCAATCGTCGGCAATCTTGTCCCGAGCTGCTTTCCCCACCGCCGGGTTAGTTATGCTAAGGGTCTGCGTGCGGCTCCGCATCCCAGCAGCTGCCGCTGCACATCAGCAGACGGCTGGAAGGCCCCTCGCAGCGTGGCCTCCATTAGGAACTCATGTTTCATTAAAGCCACACAAACATCACCCAAAAA